CTGACCCATGCAAAATGAACGTTTTCGGATTGTTATCCTGTCAGTCAGTGTCAGCATCTTGAAACAACCTAATGAGGCATGAAGAGTTCAATCAGATGAATTTGAAAGAGGCTGACAAGGCTGGCATTTAGTGATCCTTCCAAATCTTACATCATGCTGCGTGTGTGCTCTGAAATTTTCTCCCCACAGTGCCACCTCAGCGTAAAGCAGACTCGTCAATCTATGATCTGGGAAAGTGTTTACAATACACTTTTTGTCTTGCTAAACCCTCATCCGTTATCTTTGACAACATTCTTCGACCCTCTTAAAGGGAAAGTTTGACTTTTTGGGAAATACACTTTCTTGCCGAGAGTTTGATGAGAAGACTGATACCACTGTACAGTAAATATGTAGCTAGAGTGTTAGCTAAGCTTAGCTTAGCATAAATGCTAGCCTGGTCTTGCCCAAAGGTAACAAAATCCACCTACCACTGAATTTAAGCTCACTAATTAACACGGTGTACCTCCTTTCTTTAATTCATACAGAAACTGAGCCGTACAAACGACTATTTCTTGGCTGGGAACTAGTCCAGAAATAGCCCAAAGGTGCTGGTAAGCAGATTTTGTTGCCTTTGTAATGGACGGATCCAGAATGTCAAACCAGACCTTTAATGATGTATAGATAAAGCACTACTGTGAACTTTCTTATCCAGTTGCGCAAGGCCGGAGAAGGTCCCGCACATTAGCTGCTTCGCCGCTTTCTCATGAAATCACACCTTAATTAGTTGGTTCATTAGGACTACATCTCTCCGCCTCACTTGGACGTGACTCTCTTCAATCACCCTCCCTTGAAGCCTCTCTACGCCTTCATCATTGTCACCTGTCACTTCCTCTCCTCCCTACAGCCGTTTCAGGCAAGGAGATGAACATCAGACTGAAGCATTGAGAGAGGAGGGATCCGTGTGTGGAGAACAGAGGAAGGATGGGGACGACGACAGAAAAGTCAAACAGGCTGTCTTCTCTCAATGAGCTTCAAAGAGCTGTCACATCAGAAATGCGAGGCTGCTCACACTCTGCTCTTGCATCTTGCCAGTCCACGCATACATGTATATACCCGCTATCTCATGCGGTCAGACACGCATCTAGGCTGCTTCTCCCGCCTTCCCTGTCTCTCTGTCCTTTCTTTGAATGGGGCTTGTCTCTTTTCCTCGCTGCTGAGTCACATTTTCTGCCACTGCACGAGGAACCCGTTGAACTCTTCTCCCTCACTCTCTCTTCTCACTCTGTCTCGCTGTGTCTAAGACTCGCTGCAGTAACACCGTCTAGTCTCAGGTGGCCCATCATCATCGGCTCCTCTGGGTAACGCAGTGCTCGACTGAGGGCTGCAGGCGAGGACATCCTGAAGTGACTGAGCAAATAAATATCTTTGCAGCCGCAGGCCTGGCACTGTTGCTAAAACACAATCAATTTAGTCCTGGAATTGTGTCATGGACAGTGTTTCAGGACCTTGAAAAAGCCATTTCCAGCTTTTGTTTGCAAGTGCTGCTCTGTGTGTAGCTGAGGGTGTGTGTGTGTGTGTGTGCGTGTGTGTTAGCAGGAGAGGGAGGGACAGGGACACTGTGGCAGTGTGATGTTTGTGTTTGTGTATCACTGCAGCACAATGCAGCTTGTCAGGCATTCTTTTTGCTTCTCTGCTTTGTCCCCATTCGCCAGTGTCACCCAATTTTCTGTCATACCGAATGCAAATATTGAACCTCTTTTCAGAGAGATGTTCTTTATTCTTTGGAAAGTCACACAAAGGAAATCATACACTGACAGCAGTCTGACTTTTCATCCAGAGCGCTCCTTTTATTCAGCAGGAGCCTGGCTGAGGGAGACATGGTGACCTGCCAGGTCAGCGAGCAGTGCACTAGTTCTCCATTCAGGCCGGGCAGCTAAAGACAAAGCAGCAGTTTGACTTATAACCTCAAATGTCAACATGCATGCTTTCATGCAGTCCAAAGGCATTAAAGGCACATGCACCCTAAAATAGAATTCACACCTAGTTATAATTATCGTAGAGCTCGGGTTTATTTTTCTGAACTCATTACTACACAAACACAATCCCAGGTTTCTGTTTAAGACTGTGGATCGGCTGGTAAACCCAACCCCTCCTTGTGCCTCAGCTGGAAGTAATGATGACTGTGAATTGTTTTTATCTTATTTTACCAATAAGGTGGTGTCAATCAGAGCCTCTATTACCCCTGCGGCCTCTTACTAAGAGGTTCCTCACCAGCAACAAGACAGTTTTAACCAGTTTTATCCCATCGACTTGTCTGAGCTTTTAAAAACAGTATCACAAATGAGAGTGTCCTCCAGGCCACTTGATGTAATACCTACAAAGTTTTTACTGAAAGTAATAGATTCTGTTGGGCCACATTTGATCTCTGTTTTTAACAGCTCCCTATCTACTGGTTGTGTCCCTGATTATTTTAAAACGGCTTGCGTGAACCCACTTTTAAAGAAACCCAGTTTAGATCCCTCCCTCCCACAAAATTTTAGACCAATTTCAAAACTGCCGTTTATTGCAAAGATTCTAGAAAGACTTGTGTCCAAACAGCTGCTCACTGTACTGGAAAATAACAAATATTTGAAAAGTTTCAGTCTGGTTTCAGGAAGTACCACAGCACTGAGACTGCCCTGCTTAAAGTCACCAATGACCTTTTAATGTCTGCTGATGAAGGTATGTGCTCAGTCCTTGTACTCCTGGACCTTAGCGCTGCTTTTGACACCATTGATCACAACATCATGTTAGACAGACTGAGGCACTGGGTGGGGATCTCTGGTACTGCCCTAGAATGGTTTTCATCCTACCTGTCAAATAGGAAGTTTTTGCGTGTCTGTAAACAACTATGTCTCTTCGTTCTGTCCAGTTAAATATGGTGTGCCTCAGGGGTCGGTCTTAGGACCCATTTTGTTTTCCTTGTATCTACTTCCCCTTGGACATATTATCCATAAACATGGTATTTCTTGTCATATTTATGCTGATGACACACAAATGTACTTGCCTGTCAGATCCACAGATCCTGGAATGCTGAGTTCACTTACCGACTGCCTTTTGTGAAGTTAAAAATTGGATGTCAAATAATTTCCTCCAGCTGAACTCAGACTAAACAGAAATCCTGGTCATCGGGTCATTTGCTGGCTCCCTAGTAAATCACATTAAGCCTGTTGCAAAGAACCTTGGTGTTTGGTTTGATTGTAATTTAAATTTTGAGCAGCACACCACACAGCTTGTTCAATCATGTTTTTATCAACTTAGAAATATAGCAAAAATTCGATCTATGTTAACTTTTAAGGACACAAGACCATTTTACATGCCTTCATCTCATCACGCCTGGATTACTGCAACAGCCTTTTCACTTGTTTAACCCAGAAATTTACTAATCGACTCCAGACTGTCCAGAACTCAGCTGCCAGGCTTTTAACCAGAACAAAGAAATATGACCACATTACTCCTATTTTAGCTTCATTACACTGGCTCCCAGTATGTTTTAGAATTGACTTTAAAATTTTATTGATCACTTTTAAAGCTCTTCATGGCCTCTCGCCTTGTTATATTTCTGACCTTTTAGTCCCACACACACAAGCACGCACCTTGAGATCCTCGGGCAGAGGTCTGTTGTCTGTTCCAGAGTCTCGACTGAAAACTAAAGGGGACAGAGCATTTGCTCTCAGGGCCCCGAGGCTCTGGAACAGCCTGCCCGAGGAAATCGGGTCGGCTGAGTCAGTGAACTCTTTTAAGTCCCTTCTTAAAACATACTTTTATAGGAGAGCCTTTCCCGATCTTATTTGACTTTATTTTATCCCTTTTATTTTATTCTATTTTACTTATTTTATATTTATCTTAAACGTGTATTTTAGTCTTTTCAATGTTTTCTTGCTTTTATCTTGTATTGTGTTTTTTTTTTGTTTTTTTGTTTTTTTGTATTATTGTCTTTTGGGTATTATTGTCTTTACACTTGTTAAAGCACTTTGTAACTTGTTTTGAAAAGTGCTCTACAAATAAAGATTATTATTATTATTATTATTATTATTATTATATTATTTGTGTTTGTGTTAAACTGACTTGCAGACAGACTGTAGCAACGATGCCATAGAGCGTGAAATCCCAGAACAGCTCTATAGACAGCGAATAATAACACAACTCTTACTGACAGTAGACATGGTGATTTTGACTGGGCACATTTTCTGATTGCCAGCTTTGAGCTCAACGTCCAAATGAAATGCATTTGAATTGAAAACCTCCCAACAAAAAAATCCTGTGAGCCTACATAGTCAATCTAAGTCGGTCAGTGTAGCAAATCCCAAAAAATGGCTCCTAATAGCTCCATACTTTAAAGTCTTGTTGCTGATTCGTCACTGACAGTCGCCTGTGTTTGTTGATACTGACTTTACTTTCTAAAATCATAGCTAGCACAAAAAGTCTTTTTAAGGGATGGGTTTACCCTTTAAAGCATGCATGGTAATGAAGGTTCTGATTTCTCTCTTCCCACCATTGGTTTGTTTTGCCAAGGCTAAATGAAACGACCGTGGTGGTGTTTACGGTTTAAGGACTTTGTCTTAACACAGCTAAATTATTTGTTTTTTCCTTTATTAAAATCCACTGGAATAAAGGTCTTTGTGGACCCACAGTATAATTTATCCAAACAATATGATTGTACAGGAATCATCTTGACTGAATGTCTGCCAATCCTCCAGGAAGTATGTGTTTTCATAAAAATGTTTTGGTTTAGAGGAGGCTTAACAAATGATATAGTGACTTTCTCATTGATGCAAGAGATAGATCATCAGTTAAGACCAGAAGCAATTTATTTACTGAGCCACTTGGCCAAAGAGGCTGACCACTGGATAGTTTTCATTTCTCTCTGACATTGATGTTGACAATCGCAAATGTAGTTTTCAACAAATGATACATGCCTTTTTGTAAGTTCTATTTTTATTTTTTTTTTCTTCAACCACTGTCCTGTGGTTATTATCCAGGCTCCGTGCTGGACGTGATCAAGCATATCATCTCGCGAGGCGAACACAAGACAGGCGTCCTGGACGAGCCCAGCATAGCCACCGTGTTGAAAGATGTGCTTGAGGGCCTGGAGTACCTACACAAGAACGGACAGATCCACAGGTAACAAGACTCAGGGCCCTCCACACTGGCACTACACAGTAACTCACATACAGGATACGTAATGCTTATTACTTATTTGCATAACTGTCTATTTTTGTATATTAGAGACTAATTGTATCATTTTGTGACCCTTTTCATTGTGTGGTACGTGTTGCCTTCATACTCTTTCCATTTTTCTGTGAGTGAAATGACAACCTGTGCAAACAAATTCACAATCTTAATGTGTGGTTTAATGCAAAATTCAATGCACGGACGTGTTTGCATGTTGAACTTTGCATTTAAGGAAAAGCAATGTAACTGTATTTGTGTAGCACAATTCATACACCGAGGAAGTTCCATGTTTTCCTGCTTTCATACCCTACAAACGTTTATGTCAAGGAAAACGTATGTGTCGATTGCATAGGCAAAATGTTTACAGTTTAAAAAAGTGCAAAAAGTACAGGCAAGCATTACAAGAGATAAAAATAATAAATAAATAAAGTTTAAAGTAAAATAGTTGATAAAAAAGTGGAATAAAATATTAGGGCATTTATTATTCACAAAACAGATGACTGTACCGTGGAAATGGCATTTTCACACCGCCACTTTCACACCTAAAGGTCAGGGAGGTAAAGGTGTACATTCCCCAAGGGACCTCAACAAGTGTTCCAGAAGAAGACGCATTTATGATGTGTTTACGGCTTACCAGTAGAGAATGGTTATGAATGGGGGGAAAAAATGCACTTTTTCACTTTCTGTCTTTACTACTGAATTTAAATTTGGACACATGAAACAAGCCCTCAGTGTTTTTTTTTTTTTTAATGCAACAACTTCAAGTTAAGAACTGCCGCAAGAAATTTCTAAGTAGTCTACCACATTTGGGCTGATAATAATCTTTAAGAGTTACTGTATGAATATGCATTAGTGGAATGGGTCAATGGCAGATTTGCATGCCACAGGGAAAGTGTCATGAAAGCTCTCTTCCTAAGCCAGTTCAAGATCCAGCTAAATCCCCCGCACTTAACTTGTTAGAATGAACCCAGCCGAGACACCGACTGTAGAAGTCATTGCGTCTCTTTTGTTTTTAATATTCATTACTCACTTTTTCATACGTCTCCTCTTCTCTCCCGCCGGCACACATATAGCCCTGGACAGGCCGCATGTGTAAATAATGCACTGCTTTTCGGCTTGGTTAAGTGCCTGGCAGCTTTTAGAGCAGCACGCCAATATGAGAGAGAGAGAAAGAGAGAGAGAAAGAGAGAGAGAGACTTGATCGAAAACTGACCATGGGCTTGGATGAGGTTCAGCCGTGTAGGTAAAGCATCATCTCATTTACCTGCATGTTAGAAAACTGCTGTATCCTATAAGGAGTATAGGGAGAGATGTAAGGAATTAGCGTGAACGCTATTTAAATGTGTTAATTAAAAGGAAAATCCACTGCGGTACACTGCAAAAACTGAGCTCTCAAAAACAAGAAAAAAGCAATAAAATGGAGGAAATATTACTTAAAATAAGCAAAATTATCTGCCAACAGAACAAGAATATTTCACTTGTTACTTAAGGACAAAAAAACTTGAAACAAGTGAAATTCTCTAACATAAAAGCCGCCTGGTAAGAAGAAATATCTTGTCAGACAAAAAACAAGTATATTTTGCCTTCAATTAAGATAATTAATCTTACGTATACCTCATGCTGCAGCATTGAAGCATCCACTTTCAGCATAATGTGACAGGGTTACCGGCCATTGCCAGAGAGAGGGAACTGTTTTTTCGGAGTAAAACCTGCCTTCATCTCTGTGCCCTGTCCAAGGAGACATTAGGGGAATCATTAATAGATTCATCACCTCTGTGTACCCCGTGCTCTGAGGTGTGACTTGTGAAAAAGTAAATGTGAAGTAATCCCCCAGCACTGAAAAACATGGGTGGCTATCGGTGTCTGCTGATGTAAACGTGCTCATATGTCCATGCGTGCGTGTTCCTCCTGTATAAGCTGGATCATATGAGCTTGGAGCCTCAGGGCAGGGGCGATGGACACAGTCAAAGGGGTGAGGTATGACGAGGAGGAGAGATAGTGTCACGTGTTTTGTTCCATCCAGCCCAGGACGGCAGAAAAGCAATTAGAGCCCTGCGGCCAGAGCTGTAGCCTCGAACGTTGAGACATTTACCACGAGACAGCGAATTGCTCCGCCTCCAAGTTCACAGCAGCTCGGGGAGTCAGCAATTCAAAGGTGACACCTGTCCTCTAACTTGAGCAGCAGGTAGACATTGTTCACATGGCAAAGACAAGAATACCACATCTAGATTTTGTTAGATGAATCTTGAATCTTGAATCTGTGCGCAGAGATCTAACTGTTGTGGAGAGAGCTTTTCCTTACTCATCTCTCTGAAACCTCTCGTCTTCTGAGGGCTAATTACTCGGTATGTGGTTCAGTAATGATCAGGTAATGGCTGTAGCTGCGCTGCCTCTGGGAGCAGAGAGTCTCTTGTTGTGGATTAAAGGGAAATTGACACAGTAAGTCATAAACATTTATTTGGAAAAAAGATGAGAATGAAACTCAGCAATATCATGACAAAGCAATCAAAATAGCAAAGCTAAAGGGAAGATATTTTTATGGTCTTAAAGGGCATGGTTAAAAGGGGGAGGTTTATCACCATAGGGGACCCACATGGCGTCTCGTAAACCCTCTTTTATAGCCCTGTTAAGGCCACTGTAAGCCTGGCACCAGGATGTGATGTCACTGGACGTGATCCGATGGAGCTGCAAGGGGCGAAGGCTGCCAGATGAGAAAGATAAATCTTCTTGACAGTTTCATACTGTGGCTGCTCCCACCTGGCTACGTGCTGCCTGGTTATCATTTCAGTAGGCCATAAATATGAGAGACCACGCACATTTTGTTTATTTGTCAATATTTTTATTTATTTGGTTACAAAATAGAAATAAGCATCGTACGCCTGTTGTTCTTCTGTCTCACCCACTATTGTAACACATGGCTGGATGACTAGTAGGGTTTTAACTGCTGGTTGTCTTTCTTTCCTCTCCGTTACAGTGTTTCTTTGAACTTACATGGTGCATTGTGTTACCACCACTTCCTCCCTCCTCCTCCTCCTCTTCTTCCTCTCCTGTGAATGTTAATGACTATCTGCACTCTGCAGCCTTTTTCTCAGAGCATTACAATCTGCTGCAGTGAACCGTAGCCTCCATGGTTCTTGAATGAGTACGGGGGAGGGCGGGGGGTTACAATCAGGCGGCCTTGATCAGTCTTTGTAAATGATGCAGCTTCATGGGTTTGTGGAGCATATTAAATTTAAATCCCACCTTTAAAATATTATTCATGTTGTTTCTCATGTAGACGGTGAGTAATGAAATGACTTTATTCAACTTTATTCATTCATTCACATAAAAGTCATCTTGACAAAGTATGTGAAACAAAAAGCCTCAAAGTCACTCACTGATTTATTAATTTAACAGAATGTCTTCTGATGACTTGATTCTTTCAAGTCTTGAATTTGATTGTTAGCGACGCTAATGGTCAGTCCACTACTTTGGAAATGTTTCAACAACTATTGGGTGGATTGTCATGAAATTGGTGCAGGCATGTCATGTCCTTCCCCAGAATGAACTAAAATTACTTTAGTGATCCCGACTTCATCATTTAACAGGTAGTCCTTTTTTTTCTTGGACAAATGTCCAATAAGTTAGCAGGTTTTGTGATTAGTAATTTGCACTGGACTAAAGCCATAATAGGTCCATAAAATACAGTGCATTGTTAGCCCAGGCTAAACCCTGAATCTGAAGCCTTGAACACCCACCGAGAGAGGGACAGTGGTTGTGTAAACGAGGAAAAGTATTTTAGGATGCTCCCAGACTTGCCTTTCGGTCTCAGGTGGTCCACTCTGCACCTCCCCTCTAATCCCTAAAAAGATCCATCTCAAGTGACTAGACATAAATCCCCCCATGTATGTGTACCCAAGGTGAAGGATGAACGTGTTCTCGATTAAGCACACTACACACTAGCGGTTATGTCAGGGCAGCAAAGTGACAGTGGGACGAGCCAGAGAGCCGCGGAGGACAGACGTCTGTTTGGCTGCAAACATTTCTGACGGCGGTTTTTCAGCAAAGGCTGTCATGTCCGCTTTCATCCACCCTTTCCCTTCCTCTACAGCATCCCGAGTGTGACAGTTACATAATTGAACTCTTCTAGACACAAATGCACAGCAGAGTTTTGCCACATGTTGTCCATAGACAGCTCATTTTGCCTGAGCTGATTACCGAATACACTTTAGAGAAGACTTCTATACAGTCATCTAATACCCTGCCCCGTGTGGTATCCCAGTCTGCTTCTTGATAGTTTTATTATCCCACAGGGGAAATCCCCATCATTTCTTTCAACCAGTGGTCCTAATATGTCACACATGCTGCATTCCTCCCTTTGCGGCTCCCTGTTTGCCACTCCCTGCCCCCGTCGCTATGAGATCTCTTGTCTGCGTGGTGTTTTACTGGAGCGCTCTCAGCAGAAGAGGCCTTCGAGAACACTCAGGTATTCAGCAGCGTTTAAACAAAGATCTGAACTGTGACCTGCAGACACTTGAGTCCCCTCAGCGCACTGTTTGTCTTGAGTGCGTTTGCTCGTAAAGATGGTACTTCTAGCTTGTAGCTGCAGGAGAGGCTTCAGGAAGAGTGCAGGAACAAAGGTGTTTTTAGTGATACAGATAAAGTTTGAGCATTCACTTGAAGTCGTAAGCATCCATAAGCAGTATTCTTTGTCTTGTCTCTGCAGAATATGCCCCCCATCCCCATGGATCTGGTGGACTTGGCATGTGTTTATAGACTATATGGATTTAATTATATCCCCAATAAAGTGGTACAGTGAGCCTTTGTTTCTTGGAAGCTGTGTCATGTCTCATCTCCAAGCCAGAACTCCAGTCCACCAGTCTATTTTTACCTTCATTGAGACCAACTTGGTTGCTGGAATGATCCAACAGCATTTGTCTCTCAGCTAAAGCTGCAAGCTTTTTACTCCAGTGCCCCCATCTGGCAGCAGGGTGAACTGCTCAGCTGTTGAGACCGCATCTTTTCTAAATCATTTGCCTGCCTGTCAGTGCAGTTTAAAGATCTGTCACAGGGTAATTTGAGCAAATGAAATCTGTTAGAAGCAGGCTTGTATTTGGGTGGTGCAACATGCTGAAGGTGGTGTAATGGCTGGCAGTGATCTGGGGTTGGACCACTTTGGTCTTCTTTGTCCCATCAAAGTCTTTCTCCCATTATTCTCTTTTAAATGTACATTCACCTTCTGACAGCATGGACAGCATGACTGTTGTCCTCAGTGACCTTGTTGCCATCCTTACCTTTTCTCTCCTCGCCTCTCACTTGACCCATAGTCTGTTGCTATGACAACTCTGTCTGGGTGGCGAGGCAACAGCGTTCATTCTGTGTGGCAGACCGGCAGCCAGACAGCTGTCCCTGTTGAGTCCTCTTATCACCACAAGGGGAGGCTGAACACAGATGAACAAATTAACTACAGACTTTGTGTGGTGAATAAAGTATAAATTAAAAAGGAACCCAGAGTGGTAGAACGGTGAAAGCTTTGACGCCTGTTTCTTGTACCAAGAAACAACAAGTTATCAGTAAGAAATCGAGTAAAGAAGAGATCCTAAGCTTGCACTCAGTTGGCAGTTTCTCAGTTTGGTGGAACTAGAGGATGTTTCAATAAACATAAACTAACACAGCGCAAGTGTCATTGCTAGTTTTCAATCGAAGCAGTTGTCATTATCACGCCAAGCACCCACGTTGTTTAAATAGCAAATGCAATGCGCCCATCTGTGCACTAATGGGAGTGTTGGTTTTAAAATAAGGTATGGTCAGGCAAACTGTTGGCGCATTGCAATCTTGAGGCAGCAGAAAGTGATTGCACCATTGACAAAAACAGGTCTGATGTCAACGGCGCATTATTTCACATTTTTTTGTTAATTTCGGGGCGCATTACTCTGATGGTAAGAGAGACACTGAGCACATTTACGCACTAAGTACAGCAGCGTAACTTCATTGATTATTAAAATCTCCCAACACGCTGACCGGATCGGTCAGGATCTAATGTTAATTCATGTTCTTTGTTGTTCTACACATCTAAACTGTCTCAAACACAGTCCAGGTTCATACAGTGAAACTGTTTGGAGTAAAGTAGCTGTCCTCCTGATTAACCCATAGCTCCTTCTAAATTATTTCAGAAGCTAAAAGTTGAAATCTGTGTCCTCTGGAGAGTTTCCTCTGTCATGTTTATGTTTAGAAGGGGTGATAACGCAGTGGCTAAGACATATGCCTTTGGTGTGAGAGACCTGGGTTCGAATCCACTGTGAGACACCAATGTGTCCCTGACACTTAACCCGTCGTTGCTCCAGAGGCGTGCGACCTCTGACATATATAGCAGTTGTAAGTTGCTTTGGATAAAAGCTAAATGAATAAATGTTTATAACTAAAGTTTTTTTGTTTTGCTGCTTAAAGGCCCCATGATATTTGCGGTAACTTTAATGCGCACGTGGAAATGTTTAAAATGACTGACAGCAGGCTCTCTAATTATGAAAGTAAATTGTTTAAGAAAACACTCATACAGCAATAAAACACAAAAAACAAAAACGCATTGAAATGCAGCGCAGTGAGCATCCAGATGTTTTAAAGAGGAGACCGCATGTGTTCTGTCTCTTAACAGACATGAGTTCAGACACTTCACTCATAATCCACAGAGCTGCAGAGTAACATTAGGCATCATGATCAGCACCCCCCACACATTGAATGCAATTCAATCAATCAATTGATGGTTCCTGCTGTTCATCTTCCATTATAATAGCAAGTGCACCTGACTTTTAAAGGGAAAATGCATTATTTATTTATATGTATTGCATGTTACGCCCAATACACACCCATAACTAATTCACAGACTAAGTACAACACTTTTGAATCATGCGCTGGCACACTGACAATTTTTTCTGCCGTTAAACAAGCAAAATTGGAGTTGGAGATGCCCCAAACGCAACTGTGCCGTGCACTTCACGCCGTGCGCTTAGATCATTAAAATTGGACCCTAAATGTCTTTGTTCCTGTCCACTGTTTGATCTCCCTGAGCTACTGCAATCATCTTTAACAACTCTGTGTGAGAAGTAAATTTATCATTGTAAATTCTTGTCTTGTCTTCCACAGAGATCTCAAGGCTGGAAACATTCTCCTCGGGGATGATGGTTCAGTGCAAATTGCAGGTATTTGGCCTTGTGGCCTTTCAGCACCTGTTACCAGATCAGGTGTGAAGAAGTAGCCGTGTTGTGCTGTAACCTCATTTACCCCCTGTTGGACTGCCAGTTCATGTTCCAATATCTCAGTGTGTTTATGCACAGGCTGCTAAGTCTGTGGAGGAAAACAAACTTTCTTGATGATAACACTGACTTGCTGCGTTGGGTCCTCTGTGTGTGTTTGTCTAATTTGTTTTCTTCTCTCTTCTCGTCCTTCAGACTTTGGCGTCAGTGCCTTCCTAGCCACAGGTGGTGACATCACTCGAAATAAAGTGCGCAAGACGTTTGTGGGAACGCCATGCTGGATGGCTCCAGAGGTCATGGAGCAGGTTGGTTATCTTTAGCTCATCTCTACAATGACTAAGCACTCCGGCACCATACAGTATGACTCTGGTGCTTGAATTTGCAGATGACATATGACTTCAAATGCTGAAAATGAGCCCATTTCCTTCCTATGAACTGTCTGTCTTTTTGCTGTTTACTCCAAGAGCGAACCCATTTTTTCCATGAGCAAAGATAAATGGTTTTAATATCTGCTTCCACAGGTGAGGGGTTACGATTTCAAAGCAGATATATGGAGTTTCGGGATCACAGCCATAGAGCTCGCCACAGGGGCTGCCCCTTATCACAAATACCCACCAATGAAGGTGAGAACGCTGTGGTGCGATCTGACTTGCCTAGAAATGTTTAGTTAACGACACAGAGCAAATGCCAAGTTGAGGGACGTTGGACTAAATGTGTTCTTGGTGTCTCCAGGTCTTGATGCTGACGCTGCAGAATGACCCCCCAGGCCTGGAGACCGCCATCACAGACAAGGAGATGGTAAAGAAATATGGCAAATCCTTCAGGAAGATGATCTCCCTGTGTCTACAAAAGGACCCAGAGAAAAGGTGTTGCCTTTACATAAAGCCAAATATGTATACGTTTACACACCACATGATGCTTTACAGTGGCTCCCAGCAGTTATGTTTAATCAAAGGCATCAATGTTTTTGCCTTCTGTGTGGTAAAGCATGTGATTATGTGCAGTCAGTGCTACTGAGCACGTGTTAAACATATGTTGTGCAACAAACAGGTTTTCTATTATCAGAATTAGTTTATTAGTGGGAATAGAAAAGCTCAAATGAACACAGCTTATTTATTGTCATTCTGCTGTTTTTCAGGCCAACATCCTCGGAGTTATTGAAGCACAAATTCTTTCAGAAAGCAAAGGTAGGTGCTCGAGCACCCTCTGGGCCTGAGAGGGAATCAGTTACACAATGAGTCAGCGTCGTCCCTGTTTCAGGCACCAGTTGAGCTGGTTGATGAGTAAAAGTCTGAGCCTGCAGAAGTGATTGGAGCTCAATGGCCTTAGTTTAGCCTGTGATTAATTGATTGGGCTCTAGAATTTTTGAAATGAAGGCAGTTCAATGTACAAAAAGAGTCGATTGTAGTGCATCAAGAGATGAAAATAAACCAATAACGTCTCTCTCCCTGAGGTGTTTGCGTGAGTCAGGCTGCTTCTCACTTGGCTCAACATGTGTGACTGACCCAACCTAAGGGCCGTTGCAGCATTCCTCTCATTATTGACCACGCAGAGCTGTTTCTAACAAAAGGAGGGATAAGCAGTCTAACTCCCGCCTCTGGCTCACCGTACCCTAGCAACTACAACAACTAGAGCGCTGGCTCAGCAAGTCAGAAAACAACCTGGTTGGTTTGTTGGACATGACCCTGGTCGGCAGAGGGCAGGCTTTGTCATTGATTTAGAACAGATACATGACTTGTGTAAATGGCCTGTGTCAGCCTGCTGGAGAGATTTAAATGGCTATCAAGCAAGAATATGATTAATGATTTGCTGTTGTGTTGTTTTTTTAGGGAGCAGGAGTTTGTCTGTCAATAATAAAACATTTGAAATTTTAATCCCCACCATTTGAAGAAAAAAAATCACACTTACAGTAGGAATGTTTGGTTTAAGAAGCATTTGAATAAATATTTAAATTAAAGATGAGCAGGAATGGTTAAAAGAAGCCCTAATAAAATGCCCCTTAAGAGTACATAGGTCTTGAGATGAGATTTAAAACGGAGGAATTCCATAACCTGGGAGCCAGCACAGCAAAAGCTTGCTCACCACAAGTCTTGCACAACCAGGACGCTTGTTTTGATGACCTGAGAGGCCCAGTGGACCTGTACAGGGGGGGTCAGCGACTCACTGAATCAGAATATGTCTGTGAAAAGTTGTGTTAGGCTTTAAGATCCTAAATTTGACAGGAAGCCAGTGGAGCGAAGAGCCTTAGTTAGTTTTTTTAACCCACATTATGGGTCGCAGTTCAATGCTCAGGTAATGTCAGGTAACAGAACAAACAGATATAGATGATTTTGTGACAGCCGTTCTTTTCTTTCCTCTTATCACAGACCCACGAGTATTTACATGAGAGGTTACTTCAGAGGGCGCCCACAATAACGGAGAGGTCGAAAAGGGTAAGATACGGCAAAGTTGTAAATCTATACTTTCTAGCTTTATCGCTATGAAGTAAAGCTCAGCTGTGTGTGCGTATGCGTTGACAGGTGCGCCGAGTGCCAGGCTCCAGCGGTCGGCTGCATAAAACGGAGGATGGTGAATGGGAATGGAGTGACGATGAGCTGGATGAAGAAAGCGAAGAGGGCAAAGCAGCCGTCGCGGCCTTAAGGGTGAGATGGACCTGCAAACCCGTTGTTCCCCTTCACACGCACACATGGAACACTGTTATACTCCACATGTCTTGTCTTTTTAATCGCTGTATCATGTTGAAATTGTCATTCTCTGTGCAGTAGCATGTTTGTGCGTTGTCTCTCCACTGAGTCTCCCTTATGTGTGTATGTTCTGTCTGACGGCCAAGGAGCAGCAGGGGAAGCCTGTTGGCGCCACCAGGCGACAAGTGCGCTTCTCCTACCCACTCGAGCTGCCTGCGTCCAGGGTTGTTCTCTTGCCCCTACAATACAGATGGCATTCCCCTAACAAGGAAGGACTCTCTCTGCACGTGTTAGCTAGAGAGCATGTGACTGCTAGAAAGGGCAGGAAAGACCTTGAAGAAAGACGAGAAGGGGGAGAAAAGGGCAGATAACTGTTGTTGTTGTTGTTGTTGTTAGAGAGAGGGCTGTAGTTTATCTTTACAGTTATGATTAACCAGGTTATCAGTAAATCTGTACACAGATAAGCTCTTATCCTCCAGATAGTAGCACCTTTGTTCCGGCATTGTATAACTTTACACTAATCTGTCAGAAGACAACTAGTAATTACCAGGCTATGTCACACAATTGGTTTGTTGAAAGGAAAGGTAAGCACAAATTTGTGCATGCTGTAGACCACAAGCGAGTCAAATCTGACCTTCAAGTTAACCGTGTCAGGACCTGTTAGTCAGCGCCTCTTTAAAGTGAGATGGTTTGTGTCTCATAGGAAGGGCGTGAGTGGTTTTTACTGAAATATGGCAGAGTTTGTAAAGGAGTTTGTGTCCACATTCTGCAAAATGTATTTCTTAAATTTTAGAGAATTTAAAATTGGTAGATACCGCTTTTTGGTAAAAGTATAATAGATAAGCATCAACAGTTTGCTCTGAGAGAGCATTATTTAATCATAGAAGTGAGAGTTAACTTTCCTGGAAGCCATCTGTATTTCCATTTCTCTTTCTAAATCACTCTTTATTTATACTGACCAAATCACATTTAATCAATTCAAGGACAAATTACTTAACAACCCTGTAAGTGATCTTCAATTTGAGCACTAATGACCATCAAGGAAAGATTAAAATTTTACAATATCTCTGCCGCTTTGATGCTACTTGACTGGCTACTTGTTGGCAAACTGAGCTTTAAATTCTTACACCAGCTCTACTGGATGTCATATCTCAAAACTCCCACGAGCTGACTCTCATGTTTTTTTAATGCCAACATGAAATGATTACTCATCTGCCCAGAAAAAGATACATATTATTAGACAGCGGAGCCTGGCTGACTACCTGTGTGTCTGTGTGCTTTAAAGATTAGTACAGTCTCCTCAGTAACGGCCTGAACACGCAGTCGCTTTGTCTGAATCAGACAGGAGATTCCTGAGCTGATATGATTTCTGACATCAGCCAGGCGCCACATCACGTCCTCTCAGTCAGTTTGTCTTCATTTGGGCCCGCAAGGCTTCTGTCTGACTCTGCGCTCCTTGGAGTCGGTTTAAACTTTGTGGGGGTTTTTTTGCACACAAACAGTTTGACCATATAACAGTGTAACTTTCTCCTGATTTTGTTTTCACTTATGCCGCTTCTCTGCTTTTCAAATCTAAAAACAAAAACTTCCAATCGTAGAATATGTAGTTTCACTCGTTTACAACTCAGTTACCAGCACCTAGAGGTGAGCTACATGTCTAACATCACTGTGAATGTGATTTTATTTCACGATATATGTAGTGACGTGGTACATTTTCTGGAAATTAAACTAAGAATGAGTTTATAGATTGAGTTATCAGACAAAAATGGATGTTTTCTGAAGTAAATACTTAACAAATCATGTTACTTTATCACACTGATGCATAAATCAGGCCTGAATTGATTTGCAGTATTTCTTGAAATCACCTCATAGAGCCAGAGGATTGCTACCGCGCCAGACACTAAATTGCAAAATATCTACTGGTTGACACATTTCTGTTAATAAAGTTCAATTAAAAGGGGCTTTATTGGCGTTCACATTGCCAAAGCAAGTGTGAAATACAAAACTTTATCCCAGTAATGCTGTCATATGGCCCAACCATATCAGCACCACTTAGTGAAGTGTAGTTGAAGCATTATTTAGTATAATATCACTGTATCCCCCTTAGAGGAGATAATGATAAACCAAGCAGACCGATAAACGAGGAAAGTAAACGAGTGAGCTGTTTTTTAATCCGTTTCCCTCTCATGCTTTCTGTGTTCTTTGCATCCATGCGTGCTGTTTTTTTGCTTTGTTAAAGCCACCGAAGCGATGGCCTTCTCTAAGTGTTATCTTCCGCTGTCTGTTATTTAACAGTCACCAAGAGTGAAGGAGGGATCGCAGAATTCAGAGGTGAGTTTTAAAAGTTCTTTCTTCACCGCCGCAGTGCTTTAGTTGCTATGCACTACAAAAGCACTTTGTGCACCGGGATCACGGATGTGTACATATGTCAGACTCTTGCACAACAAATCTATTTGATCTAATTTAGAAATTGTCAACAGTACGGCACTGTATAACCTACAAAGTCTAACTAATCTTCATCTAGGAACTGGACCTTGAGTCCAACTAAAGTTTAACTTTTGTTTACGTGTGTAATGAATATGTAGTGGATACTGTTGTTGATGATAAAACCAGCCTTTCACTGCCACTGCAAGCCTGTGATACGAAATGCAGCCCATGTTTAGATTTAATGTGTATCATTTGTTCATCTCAGGTAGGCAGGTAAAAACAAATATTTGCTAATGCTTGTTTGTATTTACTTGCACATGGGCTGGGCAAAAAAAAAAATAATGAAAATTATTGCGATAAAATTTTCCTTTGTAACAATACTGTTTGTCTTTAACTTTCACTCTGGAGCAAAAAAAGCCTTTAAACTTGATAGAATCAATGATTTCACATTTATCTTGATAATTATCGATATTTAATGATATTAGATTTTTTACTGTGATAACCTTTTTGGCCACATCACCCAGCCCTACTTGCCCATTAAGCCTAAGTGTAGTAAATGTATAATCAACTGGTTGTGATGGAAAAATAGGATTTGATACATATGTTTCTTCTTTTAGGTAAAATTGATGGAAAGCAGTCATTTAAAATCTTCATTATTTTACTTTCTAAAGCAACTAAACAACAGTCAGCTGCTTACCGTTGCTTGGTTCAGAAAGTCTTAACATGTAAATATAACATCGGTTCCTTTCACCGTTGTATCAGACAACGTCTCTATAGCTACGCCTCTCTGCTGTGAGCAGTGTTATAAAACTTTCAGATAAAGTCATAAGAAACATTTGTTTATATTAAATACTCAAGAACTTTCCCCCTTTTCAGTCGTTTGTCCCATTTGACCACCGATGTGAAAGGAGGAGCAGGATTTGATGAAATTTCTCCTTCAGGGTTTTCAGACTTCTGAGCCTTTAAGTAGTCATCTCCAGCCGGTGGCCGCAGGTCAGGCAGAACTACCTCAGGCTGCAGGCCAGGTTCCACTGCAGCCCACACCAGTCAACACTCAATCCACTGCCCAGGCTGCATCTCCCACGCCAGGTGTACCTGCTGCTGTTCCCACACAGGTCAGTCATTTCTTTCAACATATTTTCTTTTTCAAGACTTCAAATTTTTCGATCATCTGTTAACCACTGATTTTTATGATGTGACTCCCTCCCTCTTCTCCTTTATCTTTTGTTCTGCTCAAATCAACTGTCTTTATCTGTGTTTTGACAGGCTCTAGCTGTCTCAGGGGATGTCAATGCTCCCATTAGTTTGGTATTAAGGTTAAGGTATGTTTTCCTATTTCAACATAAAAATCAGTAGCCTGACATCGCCACACTGGTCCTTTTCAGATTTCCAGTTATCAAGGGGCGCAGACCAAAATGCCTCTGGTTGTGAATGAATAGAGCTACAACCAGTCAGAGCAACAAAACATGGCACGTAGCACCGAGCAATTGGAAAAACAGACTACATTGTGCAGAGATGAGCTGTGACGGATATGTCTGTGAACAAGTGAACTAGGCGATTTTGCCATCAGAATTTGAAAATAAAAGGAGTTATTAGAGCATCGTATCTTGCAGTTTCAGTTGAATGGAATAAGTCTCATGCATTTTGCCGGCCATCCAACGATAAACTTAACTCCTCTGATCTAGTCTCTCTCTCTTTCATCTCTTCAGAAATTCGAAGAAGGAGCTAAATGACATCCGCTTTGAATTTATGCCAGGGAGAGGTAAGTGGAGTCTCTTATTTTTTTAAGACAATCTCAAATAAAACCCAACCTCTGTTTTTTTTGGTATAACCAAGTCGTTTAAAATATGCCCTGAGGTTAAGAGTTCTTGGCTGCGAATGTCACATTTTGGGTAATCAGTAAGAGAAACAGATGAATTTATACCTCGTGTTTTGTGAAACTTGTTCTAGTGTGTCGGCTTGCAATCTTTAAATATGTGTTTGTTTTTATGAAGACACTGTTTTTGTCCACTTGTCACAATTGGTCTCTTATGCCCTGACTTTCTCAGACACAGCAGACGGCGTGTCCCAGGAGCTAGTGTCAGCAGGCCTGGTGGACGGGAGGGACTTAGTAATAGGTCAGTGATAAAATAAAAACATTCCTCTGCCCCTAAAAATTACAGAATAGTCACCTGAAGGTTAAAAATCCTGCTAGATCATAGGCTAAAAATGCCCACAGCACACTAAACCTTTTCTCATACTCAAATTTTCCTCTCTTTCTGAACATAAACAGCACAAGCGGTGTTTGTTGGACTGAAACAATGTCTTTCTTTTCAGTTGCTGCAAATTTGCAGAAAATAGTTGATGAGCCTCAAGCCAATAAAAATGTCACTTTCAAACTGGTGAGTGTCACGCCTTCATCTGTATAAACGATAACTGTTTTTAATGAAATCACTCATATACGTGTCTTCTTCTTGGAGTTTTATTCAAAATAGTAAACCACTGGAATCTTTGTTTTTTACCAGACTTATTAGCTAGAGGAACAAAGATTGCTATTTTTATTTATGATTAACTGTCCAGCTTGCAGAACTTGATATTTTTAAATCTGAACGGGAAATGGATTTGGTGTTGAGTCTAACAAAAGGCTGCAGAGAGAGTTCATACACCTCAACTATTGAGTGTAAACCTTTATAACACCACATACATTTCATTTAACTGGAAAAGCCCACAGTAGCTGAGAGAAGTGATGGAGCACCTTTAAAGAAAGTATGGAAACAAAATATGGAAGACCTTTCTGAATCATGCTAAAACTAGCTATTTTTTTTATCCGGTATCTGTTATTTACCTTCCTTTGTCTGTGTAGTTCATTCAGTATTGGTATGTTAATTTTATTTAAATGCTCTAGATTGCTTAAAGGTGCCTGTGGAGTTGCCTTGTAAACAAACAAACATTTTCTGTTTACATTCAGGGCTAATGCAACTGTTTACTAGCTAGTTCTTGCTCATTGCGTTTTTATTCTTCCCTCTTATTTTCACAGGCTTCTGGAATTGAGGGATCTGAAATACCAGATGACATCAAGTTGATGGGCTTCGCTCAGCTCAGCATTAGTTAAACTGTTGTTCTACCTGGTACCGTGACTTGCCTAAAAAATGTGAAAACTGGAAAAAAAAAATAGTTTAATGCATTTTTCTTTCTATGGCTGTAAAAAAACCACTACTGCCAAAGAAAACAGTACAGTTTTGTCACCCATAGGATTATACAGCGCCGCCTCTTTGAATTAGGGGGTCCGCGGAAGTATGAGAGCGTACATTATCACTCAAAAAAAAGTTTACAGCATATATGTAGAGGGATGCAAGTATCTCCAACAAACCGTTTTCCTTTAACATTCTGGTTCCCCTTGTCCTGTTATTTTATTTTCTCTAATATGTTATGCATTTGCACAATCTGAACTAAAGCCCTTGAACCCTGATAAGTGTAACAATGCCTTATATATTCATCAGAACTACTGAATGCACGTTTTTGGGGGTCCCCAGTTACCATATGGAGCATTATGTTGTCGGAAGTGTACAAATGTGGTTTCAGTTGCTTATGTCAGACTTTTTAACTTCATTTTTGAGAGGGGGTAAGATGCAGCTTATTAAGCTAGCTAGAATTTAAATTTTAGACACACCTTCTGACTTTCTGTTTTGACACAAAGAGAATTAAATACATGTGCGTTCATTTGGGATTATTTTCACCTGTGGATTAATGCACATTAGATGCTCATATGAGTATTTACGGCAGGAGATGATGTATGTCCATGTTCATTGTAATGAAGGAACAGCGTGGCTCAATGACAAATTTTTTATAATTTTTGGCCAACAATGGAGCTCTAGAGGAAATAAGATACATCAGACTTTGGTTATACAGATAATATGTATTAGTATAAACAATTCAAACAACAATTGTTGGTTTTGGCACTTTTATGGGACCTAAAGAGACCACTTTTAAATTATAACACGTGATTGTCCAGTGCTTCAATTGCTATAACCTTGAACAAATTTACCTTATTATAAAACTTAATTTGATTAGGGGAAAGGAGTGCAACATAATACTGACTTTTGCCTTTGTTTTTTACAGTTAGACATATTTGTGTTTTGCAATTGCCATATTGTTGGTCCCAACTCAAAATTAATGTAGCATGAAATAAGAAAGTCTGCGCAGAGAACCAACTTTGCCTCCACTCGTTTTATACAAGACACCGGCCTGAGGTCTTTTTGCAAATTTGATTGTGCGTTGAAATTGTAGTCAGGTAAAAAGTTTTACAACAGCTGAAACCACATGTTTTGTATGGGCAGATGTGTCTGTGGTATTAGTTTGTGTCTGTTTGGAATCAGTTCCTCAAATTCTTCTTCTTCGAGAAAAAAAAAAGACTTAAGTGCATTTTTGTTTATGTGGATTATAACATAAGTACTTGATTTAACCTCTAGTATGTAAATAATGACATTTGGCTTTGATTTGTTTTTATACTGGGTGTTTCACTCTTGGCCTTTTTTTCTGTCCTATGGCACTATTGTGGGTTGTAGCGCTGCGTGGAAGGTAGATGACGACACTGCAAATCTGGCTTTGAATGATCCCGTTTTGCAGGACATGTTGTCGCTCACTGTATGTCGTTCATGACGCTCATTTACCTAAACATTTCAGCTTTTCCCTTTCTGCCTTTTGAAAAGTTTGAATATATTTTACCGTGGAGCCACAGCTATCCTGATGCACTGCTTAATGCCTCTCCACCTTAAATCTCCCCAGATTTTGAACCTCCAACTCTTAATAATACCAAGTGGAGGCTGTTTACAGTACTTACTTTTACCCAACCCAACTGTTTTGATGATTGTAGACATTTTGAACGGTCAGAAATGGGTTTTGGATTCGGATGAAAAAAAGTCTGTTATCAGTAAATTCTTTAACCGCTCTCTGGGTATTTTTGTGCATCAGTGACAATGTTTGATAATTGAATGTGCATCTCGCAGTTATTGGCAGCGACAGCAATGGCAGGTTTATTTAACACTCTGCTCTAATGTGTAGATCTGAAACGCCAGCAAGGTTTTTCTGTTTAATTTGGTGATGTAATAATATCGTAACCCTCCAGATGCCATATTGAATGAAAATGAATGAATTTCTTGCTTGCAGATTAAATGTTAAGAGGAAATCTTTGTATTTTGACTAAACGTAAAATTTTATGCTAGCCTTAAATTGAAAATGACCAAGTGTATTATTTTTTGTCCTTTTTTTTGGGGCGGGATATAACGTCAAGGTTTTGATTCAGATTTTCGGTGTCTTTGAAATGTAGTTCTTGTTACACGTGAAGATACCTGAAATAAAGATATACAGGTGTGTCGACCCTGTGTTCTCCTAAAAGTGGAGTGACAAAGTCAGCAACCCACTGTTACTCTTTTAAGTTTTTAAACTGCAGTATTCGGTGCCATTCTCCTGGTTTAGTCTGCAACTGATGGCAGACAAGGACAGGATAGGTGTGTATGAGCCTTGAGGGAAGTGTGTGTGTGCATGTGTGTTGCATAGATTGAGCTCTACTCCTAACGGAGTTGATGATCCTAATGGCTTTCTTCTTACTCTTTCTCCAACAGTCTCCGATGTCCTGCTTACATGTAGTCTAACAAAGCTGTAGCAACTGAACAGATGATCGGCAAAAAAAAAAAACACTTTAGTCCAGGCAATAACTCATCAAGGCTGTAATATATTTGAAGTTTCTGCCTGTTTTTTTTTTCTTAATTCTTTCATTTGCTCTATTTTTGGATCATTTTGGAGTTCAAAGCATGTCTCTTGATTATTTTTAATCAATAAAGAATGAGCATATCAGCCACCTCTTAGCACTTTCTGTTTTTAATGTACATCATTACCTGTCATTTTGAGTAAGCTGTTGCTGTAAATAGATAAATAAATTAAAAAAATAATAGTACAGTGAGAACCAGTTACTTATACTGAACGGACTCGAGAGCAACTTCAGGTGTGTTGCCATTTTGACTTTATATACTGTCCATGGCCTTCACTCTTATCTTATACATTCTCTATCTCTATTTATTTTATAGCTTTTTCAAACCGGAGAATTTCCCCCTCTGCTCTCACTGCCTTCAGGTTTATTGTCCTCACTATCTTTAGGTATGGCTACAATTGTCCTTTTACAACGCTTTCGTCCAGAGAAAGTCCTTATGTCTGTTTTCTAAACATTAAAGGTGCACTGCAACCATTTACAAGGAACAAGGTAGATCTATTTATCATTCTACAAGACAGGGCTGGATAATGAGATGAAGTTGTAATTCCCTTTATGCTACTCACAAAAACAAACATGCAAAAATGATAAATGAATGATGAATAAATAAGTATTTTACATGGTACAGTGCTGAGAATGAATTAAGGAGCCTTACAGCCTGAGGGAAGAAACTGCTCTGCAGTCTGGTGGTACGACAGCAGATACTTCTATGTCTCTTGCCAGGAGGCAGCAGGGTGAACAGGCTGTGGCTGGAGTGGGTTCAGTCGTTTGGTTTTCTTTGACCTCACCGATATCACTGATGCTGGGTAGATGGATACCAATGATCATCTAAGCAGTTTTACTTGCCTGCTGCAGAGCCCTCCGGTCCTGGGCTGTGCACAGCCAGTAGGTGATGTTTTCAGTCACGATGCTTTCTATTGCTCCTCTGTAAAAGTTCACAAGAACTCTTCCTCTTGTAAGTTTCCTTATGAAATATAGCCGACATGTGAAGGGGGCACTCCTCCTTTTGCAGCCTTTTTGGTCACCTGCCACATGACTTTGGAGTAGTTGGTGTTGAGGTTTCTCTTCATCTGTATTAGGATTGCTCTTTAATAAAGTTGGGGGACAGAATCTTTAAAAAATGTCAAAAGCAGTGGGGCGAATGTCCTGTTTTTAGTCCCTGGTATAGATGAAGCTTCATAAACCCTGGATCCTACAGTCCCAATAATTTACCTCAACAGTGTCTCCTCTTTAAAACCTTCAATTTATTGTAAATGCCTATGTCTTTCAAGCACCATGTCCCCAGTTTGTAACACGTTTTCCATTGTAGTCTCTAAACACAAGCTAAGATAACCCTGATGACATCACCAGGGGTTACTTTTGTAGCCTAGGCAGAGCTACTGTTTTCCTCAGGTAAGTAGTACTTCCCATGACAAATGAGTATATCTTCATGTGTTAAACCTCTAAAAACTTGATGTTTCTCTAAAAAATTAAATATATGACCAAATAATCAACCATCAAAGTAAAAAAAAAAAGAAGAAGAAATGTAGCTATTATTTTTTAAGATTTAAAAATTTGTCTTTAGTTTAAGTTTATGTCTTTGAATACCTGTCGGGTGGGAGCAATCTCATGTATCACATTTTACTGTGTACTTTCGACACACAGCTTGGATGAGATGTGTTTGAGTTTTTGCAGCAGCGTCCCTGTTCCTGGTTGCAGCATCTGGAGTGGTAAAAGAATAATAAGAAAATGGGATCCTGGGGAAAAAAAACATTATGGCTGGTTCCAGTGATGTTGAAAGTATAGCCTGGATGTTTTCTATATTGTAGATGTGTATTCTATATATTGTATTACAAAATGGATTTTCTATTTTGTTCATTTGTTTTGGGCAAAGCTTGTGTTTTGCACTTGTGGGACACCATACATGAAAGATTTTTGGCTCCACATGTTTGTGACTTATCAGCGAGGAGTTGCTGGTTTAGAGATCGAAGACAAACATCCAGAAGAGCATTTCTGATAAAATTCTGATAAGAAGTTTTTGAGTCCCACTCTTTCTCCAAGTGCAGACATTGCTATGAAACTAACCCTCGTAGCTTTCTAAAAGGGGTTGATCATTTGAGAAAGTCTTATTATAATCAGAAATGATCAGTTTTATAAAATTACATATGTCATAAGAGCGTCACATTTAACTGTTCACCGAAAGTTATTTGAACATGAAATGTGATTCCACATAGGGTGGTCCTCTTCCTCCTAAATCCTTGAAATCTTCTACCCTCCAGTGCTCTCACATATCTGCGGCACATTGTTTGTGTTATTCTCAATGTTCAGGTCTAAGGGTGGACATTGAGGCAGGACACAGATCTGGGCAGCTGCATAACAGCTGGACTTCAGCCTGAGGGATCCTGACATGTCACATTTTAATACTTTGGTAGTCTGTTAGCAACTTGGCAGGTTGTAAAAGCACAGTGATTGTCAGTTTAAATATTAACTTGCAGAATGAGAGTCAAGTTGACTGACTGTGGCTGGATGTTGCTTAAAGCCCGAAACCTTTCAGTGTCCCACGCCGCACTCTGAGGACATTCAGATACCAATATGAGCAACTTTGGGCAGATCCTGAAGGAGATTGGGGAGTTTGGTTTATTTCAGAAACGTTTAGTGGCCGCATTATGCATCCCCTCCATGTTTACAGCCTTTGATGTGATTAGCCAGGTGTTTATAGGCATGAACTTCCCGCATCACTGTAACACTAACTGGATTTTGGATCTTGGGCCCAACCTGACAGATGAGAGACAAAGAAATCTCACCCTCCCAGTGAACAAGGATGGAAGTTTTGAAAGCTGTCAAATGTTCACACCTGTGAATTTGGATTTGGAAACCATTGAAGCATATGGGATTAACGATACAACTGGATGCATTAATGGGTCAGTTTTTGAGGCACCGAAAGGTGCCTCCAGCATTGTGACAGAGGTAAGAGATGCTTGTTTATACACCCAGAGAACAACACACCAAAAATTAAATGTATATATAAATATATATTTGTGTTTTTAGGCAGGTTAACATAGATTGTCTCCATTTATGTTAAGGTCCTTGTAAGCGTTAGTAATAGGTAATAAGGCTCTTGTAAGCCCTTATATGATGCTTATTTACATCATGTGTTAATAAGACTATATAAGCGTTAATAATCAGCACATTTATTGTTCTAAGACATTTTAAGCTCTTATAAGAAACTAATAACATGAATAAAAACCTTTATTTCTTATAATTGTTCATTATAGCCTTACAAACGAATTTACTGAGTCTTACTAACTTACATTTTCTGTCGCTTAACCTTTAATAAGCTTTTTTGTTGTTGCTTTATTAAGGTTAAAAAACTTTATATACACATACAGTTTTATAATTCAACTTTTTAAAAAGATTTTTTTTGTTGGCATTATGCCAAAGCAAAGTGGCCAGGCTGGATTTAAACCCAGGGCACTGCTGTAAGGACTCAGCCACTAGATGAACTACTGGGATGCCTCTAACTGAATTATTTCTCTATTATATCGAGGTGATTAGCAATGATTTTATAGAAGGTTTTAGAATATCTTTTACTGTATAAAATATACCGAAATGTTAAAATGTACTATAATTTTACTAATAACTGTTGCATTTTTTTCAAAGCCCCATCTGGTAAGAGCATTGCAGCACTGCAGTGGCCCTGGTTTGAATCCAGCCTGGCCCCTTTGCTGAAATAATAATCTTAGAAAAACAGTGTAATTGTAAAAGTATATATAACTGTTAATAACTGCATGATAAAGGATTTATTAACCTAAATAAAGTGTTTTTCTCACTTTAGATTTAGCTTTTATTAATGTTCTTAAGCAGTCTATAAATTATTAACAAGTGTCTTTTAAGCTTAAAAAATTACAAAAGTGTATGATGCTAATTTTAACACTTTCATAGTCTTAGTAACATATAATAATGTTATTATCCATCTTACAAGGACGTACAAGGGCCCTATTACCATTAACTAACACTGATTACAAGAGCCATGATATAAAGCACTTCGGAAAAACTTGCAAAGTTTGTGAAAGTATGCGATGATGATGGAATCACCACCACTGTTATAAAGCCCCCCTTTTCTGTATTTTCTGTGGTCTTCTTCTCCTTTCACCATCCTTTCTGTACTCAGTTCGACCTGGTGTGTGACAGGAGCAGTTTGATTGAGGCATCGCAGTCCATCTACATGGCCGGTCTTCTGGTTGGAGCGCTGGTGTTGGGGCAGATGGCTGACAGGTACACAATCACTGCAACTTTATGATTCTGAACTCTGCGCATTTTACTTTTCAAAGAAACTATTTTATGCACACAGTGCATCTGCTTAAATGAAATAAATTGTTCTCATTTTCATTCAAAGCTCAAGTACAAAGTACTTCCCTTGTCTTTGTAGGTTCGGTCGACGCTTCGTGGTCCTGCTTTCACTCTTTCTCCTGCTGTTGTTTGGTGTCGGTGCTGCTTTCTCACCCAACATCTATGTTTACATGGCAATCAAATTTTTAGGTGGCATCTCCATTTCAGGCATTATTGCTAATGCATTTGTGATAGGTAGGTAAAATGCTCACAACTGAAATTCTCTTCTTTAGAAGATAAGGAGGAAATTATTCCATTTGATGAGCATTGTTTTTATTACAAATAAAGTCACTGATGGTTAAGTTATATGTGTTGCATTGTTGAGTGTTGCATGCATTGAATTGTTGATACTTTCGCATTACAGATGCATACATATATTTAACTTAAAGTTGTCACAATTACAGTGAAATTAGTAATAATAGGAGTAGTAAGTATTAAGTTACACACACACACACAACCAACTTTCTAAAAAAAAGGCATTTCTGTCTGTACTATTGCTTTGAAGGTGGAGAGTGGAGTGATTCGTCCAAGTTTGCTTTGTGCACCATTATCAGCCACTCTTTTTTCCCTCTTGGACTGATGGTGTTGTCTGGCTATGCCTATTTGATCCGCAACTGGAGGATCCTGCAGCTGGTGCTCTTCAGCCCTCTTGCCCTTGTTCTGGGAATCTTTTACTGGTCAGCAGCCTCTCATGCCACTACTTGGATTTAATGCTTTAGAGGCTAATGTCTACTTTAGTCTATTAATAAAATAAAGTGTTTATTACAGTTTGTGATCATGGACGTATGTATCAATTAGGATTCTTCCAGAGTCAGCTCGCTGGCTCATCACCCAGGGCAGGAAGACGGAGGCCATAAAGGAGATCCGGAGGGCAGCCAAGGTGAACGGAAGGAAGAGCCCGGAAGATCTGCTTGACAAGGTGAGCAGCATCAAAGACACCTTGACTTCAAGCAGAATCAAACACAAAAAAGCTCTAAAATAAATATAACTAAAAAAGTACACCTACATTGTTTAGCTGGAGGTCGAGGATACTTCCAAAAGAGGAAGCATGCTGGACATCTTTAGGATATCATATCTGAGAAAACGTGCTCTCATAATGAGCTACGTCTGGTGAGTATTTACTCACAACCACAGCATTACAGCCGTACATTTCTGGTTGCACTGAAGACATCTCTTCCACTTTGTTAATAGGTTTGCAACAAGTCTGATGTACTATGGACTAAGCCTGAATGTTGGCAATTTCGGTCTGGATATCTACCTCACACAGTTCATCTTTGGCGTAGTAGAACTCCCTGCACGTCTGGGAAGTTTGCCTCTCATCCAGCACTTCGGCAGGAAAATAATTCTAGCAGGGGTCCTGTTGTTTGGAGGATGTGCTTGTCTTGGGATACTTGTCATTCCAAGAGGTACTTTGTTGTATAATATTGGGAGTCTGTGATATCTTCAAACCTGCATTCTGACAACACGTACGTTTACATTTTTATCTGATTCATTATTTGTCCATCAGATCTTCCTGTAGGGGTAACAGTCATAGCTGTAATGGGAAAATTTGCAGCCACTGCCAGTTTCTCCATAATCTATGTTTATACGGCAGAACTATACCCGACCAATCTAAGGTAAAGTAGTTAATGCCCCAAAGGTAAAACATATTATACTTAATATTTGCAGAAAATGCCATGTTTTCTATTCTTACATGCTGTGAGATTGCTGATAAGTCTAATGTATATCTGGTAGGCAGAATGGTATAGGTCTAAACGGCATGTGCGCCCGTGTGGCGGGCATCCTCGCTCCACTGATTAGGCTCCTGGACGTCTACCATTTCACCATCCCCATGCTGATATATGGCATCATCCCAATTGCTGCTGCAGGTTTCTGTTTATTACTGCCTGAAACCTGTAATGCTGAACTCCAAGACCATGCTGAACTCACGTGAGTTGATGAACCCTTTCACAACAGAGTGCTTACTTCACTTAAAAGAGAATCAAAGCAATTCTATATGATAATCTTCTTGTTTTTAATTTCAGAAACCCAGAGAATAAGACTGTTGAGATGGGATCCTTGTCTAACTCAGAAAAGATCACAAAAATGTAATTTATATGGATCTAGTTTTTTTCCTAGTGTTTCTTTTTTCATATCAGAGAAAAATTGTTTGCCTATTCTCAACTGATAATTGGCAGCAAGAATTTATCAGAATGCTGTTACCTAAATGCAAAGATTCAGCTGAATCATGTTTAACTTGTAAATTATTAAACTTAATTTTTATTTTTTGCTACAATCTGTGAAAAATGTTTTACTACTACAGAAATTATAGACTGTTTGATAGATCTTTATAGGCTATATTTTAACTTATGTATATATGTACATTTGCTATTCTGTTCTGACCCCATAAAAAAACATTAATGTTGCTTTTAACACTGTTGTCTTGCATCTGTGTTTTAAAATGTAAAGAGTCGCTCATTATTACTGCTTATTATTTTTTATTGCTAGTATTAACTCTGTTAAATCACAGCCTTTTCCAGGTGCCAAGTGCAAGCTAATTGCACTGGACTGAAGGCAAATGTAACACATGTGCTTTTTCTGCTTTGACTATTTAAGTATTCTGACAGCATGATGTTGGAAATTCCTCACTTACTTTACTACCTTTTAATGGATTAAAGATTATTTAATTTGTTGTTGATTTTTGCAAGGACAGTTACAATTTAAAGTAATTGCACCGGAGTTAGCTAGCAGCTAATTTACATCTGTTATCCCCAGATAGGGTAGGCAACGTTGGAGAGCTCACAAGAGACGGCTATATTTTGAAAGTATCCAAACAAAACAAAACAAAACAAAAATATGTTTGTTACTGAAGCCCAAATTGTGCCTAAAACCCTTTATGTTAGTCATAGGTCTCTAGTTTCAGACAGAAGTAGACATTTTTAGTAAGTGACCTGCAGAATTGATCCGTTGTAGCTAACTAGCTAGCTATTTGATGTTAATTCTGCGAGATGGTCCAGCCGGTTCATCTGTCGCTGACTGAGTCCATATGTATTTAATGGCTGAATAAATTATATCATGCTAATTTAGAACTGAAATTTCACAAAAAATTAAAGGCTGAGGCTATAGCTTACAAAAAGTCCTTACCCTCAACAAATGATTCATGAAGAAGACATGGAGCGAAATCCTATACATATACTGTAACAAAATACAATTACACTAACTAACTAAGTTTGGCAAAGGCATATTCAGTAAATTCAGTATAGAGCAGGCTAAATGCCTAATTTATTAATCTGGGCCGGTATTTATCAAGCTTCTCAAAGTGCCATTTTAGTCTTAAGTGCTGAGAATTCATGGAATTAACTCCTACTTTAATCTGTCGCTGTCGCTTAAGTATAAAAGCAAGTTATCAAGTGTCTTAAAGCTAAGAATCACTCTTACTTTCCCAGTTATTTAAGACAGCTTGAGAAGTCTCGTTAGGAGTTCCCTGTAGGGGCTTGTGATGGCAGCATTGTGGAGACAGCAACAGCCAAGAATTTTTTTACTCAATTTTTAGCAGTGTTCTTATGAGTAATTCTGAGCACCTTGATAAATACGGGCCCTGGTCATTATCTGTGTTAGTGCTCATGTCATTGATTTAGCTAATCCAAATTTTACAATTGGTGGAATAGGGGCTGATAGTCCCTACTAAAAATAGTGCCATAAAACACATTATTATGCTTGGTTAAATATTAATTACCAAGATTAATTATTTTGGTGTTTTCACCCTTACTGGGTCCTATTCATCCTGTGCCTAGACTGAAGCTTTGTACATGATGTGGAACCACTGCAAATTTAGCCACCAAGGGCACTGGTTAGTTTCAGAAACACTTACTGGTTGCATTATGCTTTGCATGTTTGCTGCTTTTGATGTGATTAGCTAGGTATTTTCAGGCACTTCCCTCATCAGTGTTACACTGACTGGATCTTGGAGTGTCAGGCCAACCTGACAAATGAGAGACAAAGAAATCTCACCCTCCTGGTGTATGAGGATGCAAGGTTTGAAAGCGGTGAAATGTTCACATCTGTGGATTGGATTTGGAAACCATTGAAGCATATAACAGTACAACTGGATGTATGGATGGATGGGTCTATGAGTCATCCATAGCATGCTAAAGTCTGACACTGCATTTTGGTTACATTCTGGTTAAAGTTTGATGCATATTTTAGTGTAATGTTCTCTTTAACAAGAGCTGAATCTCACCTGTCTACAAGTGTAAGATGTTCGAATGTAGAAAGGACATGACAATAACCCAAAAGATATTACACAAACTGTTGAAGTATAACTTGTGAAGATGTACTTATCCCAGTTTGTGTTGACTTTTGTTGTTATCTTTTAATTAATTTTGTGAGTGAGTGTTTTGTAGGGGACACTAAATGACTTACTACCCTAATCTAAATTGTCCATTTCACCCATCTCTGAATTTATTGTTTTGTCACTATTTGTTGGTAAAAATCACACTAAAATGTTTGTTTTGGAAGTTACATTTTTATTTTGTCATTTTTTTCATGTTCATTAAAAACACCAGGGGGGTCCAAGTTCATTTTGATACTTTGTTTTTTCATTTGTTTACAAAAAACAATGAAAAATCTCATAATTTTGACTTAAATCTCATAATTATGTTTTATATCTCATAATCTGCAAATGGGTATTGCACACCTGTGCTGTCTGATCAGCATCTTGATATTGATATTGATTATCTCGGCAAAGGAGAAGTGCTCAATAACACAGATTTGTGAATAATATTTGAGAGAAATAGGCCTTTTGTGTACATAGCGAGAGTCTTAGATCTTTGAGTTCAGCTCATGATGAGTAGGGGCAAAAACAAAAGTATTGTGTTTATATATTTGTTCAGTGTAAATAGTAAATCAACTAACATGGAAATGCTTGTGTATATTCCTGTTAAATTGACTCATTATGTTGTGTCAGGTTCTCAGTACCAGTGCAAATGTAGAAATCTGATGGAATGAAATTCATGTGAGCCAAATGAATGAACCTCTTTATGATCTGTATAAACACAGCCATCCTAAAGCATTCTGTCTTTGCATTTGATCATCATCAAATTACATTCATTATATTCTATATAACTACCACACCTGAATATTTGCAACCAAATGACATTATTCGCTTTTACCCTGTTAAAATAAAATTTACAAACCTTTTTTCCCAGTTAGTGTCCACAAAAATAAGTAGTAAGTAGAAGGTAATTTAATAAAACTGACTGAATGACAAGTAAAAGATAACTTGTGTCAGCATCTGTCACACTAATACTGCGATGTCTTGAAATGATTAAGCCATTATTGCAATTAGGTTGTGAGTTATTTGTTAACACGCTATCATTCATTACCAATAATTATATGAACACACTGTACTGCACACTGAACACACCGCTCCTCTCCCTGTACACCAACAGCTGCACCTCCAGTCACCAGTCTGTCAAGCTCCTGAAGTTTGCGGATGACACCACCCTCATTGAGTCCACCTACAGGTGGGAGATCGACCATCTGGTCACCTGGTGCAGCCAGAACAGTCTGGAGCTCGACGCTCTGAAGACAGTGGAGATGGTCGCAGACTTCAGAAAGAGCACAGCCCCACCCTCCCTCATCATCCTGTGTGACTCCCCAGTCACCACTGTGGACTCCTTCAAGTCTCTCCTCAAGTGGGAGCTGAACATCACCTCCCTCCCCAAGAAGGCTCAGCAGAGGATGTACTTCCTGCGGCAGCCTGCCAAAGACAATGATGGTGCACTTCTACACCGCCATCATTGAGTCCATCCTCACCTCCTCCATCACCATCTGGTACGCTGCTGCCACTGCCAGGGACAAGGGCAGGCTGCAGCGTATCATTCGCTCTGCAGTGAAGGTGATTGGCTGCAATCTTCCTTCTCTTCAGGACCTGTACACCTCCAGGACTCTGAGGCATGCAGGAAACATTGCAGCTGACCCCTCCCACCCTGGGCACAAACTGTTTCAGATCCCCTCTGGCAGGAGGCTGCGGCCCATCAGGACCAAAACCTCTCGCCACAAGAACAGTTTCTTCAGTTCCGATAGCACTGGGCTTCCTCAACAAGGCCCGGGTCCCCACTGTCAGTGACTCTCATGCCCTCCTCCCCAAACTCACACACACTCATACACTCTCCTGACCCCACACTTTACAACAACGCTCATCTGTGCTTTATGCTCATGTTTCCAACTTTTGCACATACTTGTCAACATTGTATTATAGTATTATTGTATTTTTTTAATATATTTTGTATACTTGTACATTTATTTGATCTCCTTACTTTTTATATATTTATATTATTATTTATATTTTATGTGTACTGTAAGCACCAATTCATACCAAGCCAAATTCCTCGTATGTGAAAATGTATCTGGCAATAAACCTGATTCTGATTCTGATTCTGTAAGATCTGGACAGCAGTAGGCCATTGCAGGGTGCCTCAAACACATTTTTTAAAAAGGATTTTCTGTGTTGTCACAGTCTCCCTCACAGCAACTGAGAACAGAAACAGAACACAGCTTTAATGGAGGCAAGAAAAGTTAATGAATTATCATTAATATGTTAAGAAACAAGGCACACTAAAGATAAATGTTGCCTACTGGTACTCACATTGTCACTTGTTATTTATGCCTCAGACTCAGACTGATTGGTCACCATGCCAGCAGTATTCCTCAGAAGCCATCGGTTCTTGTGTTGAGCATGTCCAAAGCCCTCATCATAATTCCCTTTTCTTCTGAACAGTTGTTGGTAGTGAAATATGCAGTAGAATTCCCCATATAAAGGTGCGTAATTGTACATGCTACAAATGAGCACAATATGACAAAAGTTTAAATAAAGGACTGCATTTGGTTAGAGGTAGTCAGTAGGTATGTGGCACATTTAGAGTGTGAGATTTTAATAAATGTAAAAATGAATCATTTATATGTAATTGGGCTTCATTTTGCAAATGATTGTTCAAAGTGGCACCCAAACATTTTCTGTCATGGTTTTTACTTGTCATAGCATGAAAAGCACAGGTGGAATGAATAATATTAATTATGCCTCATTTCCACATATAACAGCATTGTAATGCAACAATTTGCAATGTTATTACATAGGCCTTTGTCTGACAAGTCAAAATGTGACAAACATCTATTCAACTTTAATTTCACTTGTCCCCCTGGTAATGTGGCACCCGAGTGTGGAAACCGGTGCTCTAAAAGAACATTATTTAAATAGGCTAAAAAGTTGCACTGTTAATTTTGTTTTTTAAATAGTCTGTAAAAAATTATGGTAAAATGACCCTACTTCACACCTGATTTATTACCTATTGGAAACAACAGTAAAGTGTCTCCTGAGATCTTTACTGTAACAAATGGACCGGGCAGCAGTTAAGAAGAAGAGGCAGCTAAGAAAAAAGGTCACAGAAAGTCACTTTAGAAGACTGCAAACCTGGAAAGGCTGTCTGAAAGATGCTAACAGTAAAAGCAAATATTTTATGTGCTTGTAAGGTACTGCTTCCAAAGCTTTCTGTTTGAACATGTGACCAGGAATGTCTCAAATCTCTATTAAACAGGTAAGATTTATCCTTCATCTGACTGAAATAATGAGTGTCACAAAAGTAAAGGGCAAGACAAGTTGCTAACTTAAGCACTGCTACTGTGAACCAGGGTGATAGCTAGCCCCAATTTGTATGTCTCATTTACAATAGGTTATCAATACATTCGAGTCACAAAGCTAAGCATCTGTTTTCTGAAAGATAAAAAAGCTACCTGTCAACCTTTTATAAACCCAGAAGGTCTTTTAACAACTCTTACCACTGAATAAAAAATCTTTTAACCTGTTTCCCCAAGTTGCAACTGTTTTTCCCCAATCCAAAGATGGTAGTCAGAAATGACATCTGCTCTTGCTCAATGTGTATAACATGAACCAAAATTAAAACAGTTTATTATCAGTTCAATTTTCTTTTGTCTATATTAATGTGATATTCTATTATTGTATTGTTTCATACACAATAAAATGGTATTTTTCTGTTGGTTTCCTGCCTGGACAGGAAACCAGTAGAAGTGTTGCACCTTGGGGAATGTGTTAAAAATAATGTCTTGGTCAAAGGTGGTGGAAAAATGTTGGTTATTTTACCATATATTATTTTAACATGGTCATGTATTTAAAATATGTTAAATATGAGTTAAATATGGAATATTTGCTTTTGATTTAAGTAAGTATTTGTTTTTACAAAAACAGTTGTTGCATAGAAGAGTGGGTCAGCTATATACCAAGCAATTTATCAAATTTATCATCATCAAAGAAACTAAGTCTTTATGGCACAGACAAGAAATAAACATTTGGAATCATTGATTATTGTTTCATGGGGTGAGTTTTCTGAAGAATATTTAAATTTCTCACCTTAATTTTCTCTTGCACTGTTTACAACAGAAGCAAGTTTTGTGAAAAATGTATTTGTCTGCAGTAATTCTTTCCATCGGATAAACTGGCTTCAAACAGTCTGAACACATCTCTCCACAACCTGGCTGAAACTGGCGGGAAAAATGAGACTAAGCTTGGTTAAAATAAAAAGATTGTTTTGACAATAATAAGCATTAATAACAGCAAACACAAGAGCATAAATGAAAACCAATAATACATATTTAATTTCAAATGCAAATCAAAAACAATTTTAAAGAATGCCAGCTTAAAATAAGAAATCCTACAATGTCAATAAGAAAATCCAAAACTAACAACAACCTCATGTAAACAAGCATTAATAACCAACTTAATTTATAATCTTAGCAAAAAAAAAAAATGTACATAACATCTTTGTCATAAAGAATATGAAAAACACTGCCAACTCTTAGGAAACAGTGCATGATTTAAGGTTTCTGATTGATTGGCAGCTGAACTTCTGGGTACTTGGTGACCTGATAGGCTGGACTGACCACTGCCTGTCCTGTGGTTGTTGTAGTTTCTGGATGAGTAGTGACGACAGTGGAGGTTTTGGAAGAGTAAAACTGGTTCCCAAAGTTATCGGTCTTCTCATAGTTCTCTGTGACTGTTTTGGTGCCCATGATACTGTTCCCATCATGGTCAGTCTGCACATTGAGGACACTGAGCTCTCGTTTAGGGTTGAATGTTTTGGAAGAAGACTTTTGTTTACCTCCTTTTCTGGGGTCCCTTTTTCTGTTTTGAGCAGGGCTGTTACATGTCACGTTTTTTGTTGTCTGGAATTTCTCCTCTGTCTTTGGGCTGTGCTGACACGTGGGGCAGATTGTAGTCTCTTGTGGAAGCACCTCAGTTTTATCTGCCTTTCTAGCAGCCGACTGGATGGAGATGAAGGCAGGTGAAGATGGAGGACTTGCTCTTTTTTTTGCAGAGGTTCTGTCAATGCTTGCACCCAGGCTAAGTGACAGATCTGTGTTTCCCTGTGCGGTAGGGCTTTCTTGTATCTGCAGTGATTTTGTTTTGCTTGAAGTGATGCAAATTTTTCTAATATTACCAGAGGATGGGGATCCTTGGACTGTCCCTAATGACTCTTTGAACAGGCACGATAAACCAACAATATCTGAGTCAGATTTCAAAGTAGAGACAGAATAAAGAGCTTTTTTAATGGCTTCCTCTATGTCAATAAGTCTGGCTAAAGTCTGTTCTTTTAGATTCATGATTTCCTCCCTGGCTCGCTCAAGATCTCCAAAAACATGTGCCATTGACGACTTGCTTTCAGCATTGTCTTTCGTTGACGGCATCCTCTCTTCTTTGTTTTCTAGTTTGACCTTTTTTTGTTTCTTTTTGTTGGAGCTGACAACCCAGTCTGGGACGTTTTCAAATACGCCCCTCAGAGACCTTACATCAACCTCGCTCGTGTCCTGTTCAATCTCTTCAACTCGACTGAGAATGCTCCGCAGTTCCTCCTGCTTTCGCAAGTTGTCAAAAATATCCATGGCTGCTGTTATGTTCCCTCTCATGATCTCATCCATGTGAACTGACAGCCGCTGTCGGCGTTCGTCCTCTGTCTCGGTGCGTCCTTTCTTTTCCCTCATCTCAACTTTGCTTTCGTGTTTCATTTCTTTCTCTTGCTTGTCTTTGCTGTCAGCAGTTTGTCCACAGGTGTTTGGTTTATTACATGATGGACCACTTACAGTTTGTTGTGATTCCGCAACCACATGTGTAAATATTGAGGCGTTATTATCTTTGTTGTCAGGCTGTGCAATTTTAACTCTTTTTGGCTTTACAGGAGCATTCTTTACAGTCAATGCCTTTTTACCTCCAAATTTCTTACATGCTCCATGAAAATCTACATGACTTTCATCTGTTTCATTCATATCCTGGGGGCTTTTCTCTTCTGCTGTGGCATTTATATCCTGTTGTTGATTAGTTATATTCTCATTTGTGTTTTTACTTTCCAAGGTGATGATTGAACCTTGGTCTTGATGCCTTACTTCAGTTTCCCGAGACGTCTGTATAGCTTCCTCAAAGAGCTCATTTCTTTGATGATCCACTGAATCTGGTCCTGAGTTTGCACCGCCATTAATTTTGAACAGATCTTGCTTGTATTCATCCTTAAGTGATGTTGATGTAATTGGCAATGGTTGAGGAACTGTTACTTCAGGTCTCTCAGTATTAATTTGGGTTGCTTCAGGTTTGTTTGTGTCGGCTGATTGAATTTCTCTTTGTTTCACTTTCAAACACTCAGGTTTAGGTGGGATGGCTGGTTTTGAACCAACAGGCCTTCTTCTTTTCTCTGAGACAGCACCTGTAGCGGCTTTATTTAGGGTTTCACACAGCTCTGCAATTTGTCCAGTACCTTCGTCTTTGGAGACCTCTTGTATCAGTGGTTCTTGATTGGATTTGGATTCAGTCACATGGCAAACCTCCTCCATAGTGGGCTTTTGAACAAACACTGCATCCTCAAGTTGTGATCTTTCTTTGTGAGGTTTGGGCGAGTTTCTGTATATCATAGCTGCTCTGAAATCTCCTCTAGTGACATTAAGGTTGGATCTCTCCAGAGAATCCAAAGCTGCTTTAAGTTTACCCTCAAAAACAACTTCATCATTCTCTTGTTGTGCAGCTGTTGTTTCAGTACTATCTACAGACACCATAGAAGCTTGAAAGTGTTCTTTCTGGACCACCTCTGTGGCGTTTTGACCCATTTTGCTGCATGTCTCAGTAGTTAGTACTAGTTCAGAATTTGTGTCTTTAGGGCATGTCTCTGTATTCTCACTTTGGTGGTTTGATTGATGTTCCGAGGAGATGTTAGAAGCTGATGGATGTTCATCCCACCTTGGCTGAGTGCATGAGTCCTCTTTTGGGTCCTCCAGTTCTTGAGATATTTCTGCTTTTGTTCCTGAGTGTTCAATATCGCCTGCTGTAACTGAGATCACTGGTTCCTTAAAAGATTCTTGAACAAGGAATTTCTGATTTTTTGACGAGTGATTCAAAGATTTGGTCTCAATCTCGTCCTGTTTGAGGCTTTGTATTGCAGTTTGGAGGTTATTATCATCTACCACCTCAACTAATTGAGCATGGTGGACCCTGCCGTCGTCGTGTGTTTCACGATGTAGGTATGATCCCTGTGGCACAACTGTTGAGTTACATGGTACTTCTTGTGTTTGGTCACCATGCTCCCTAAAGGTATCCTTTACTTGCCCATGAGAGAATACCCCAACATTGCATTCTGTAGAAGACTGGTTCTTTCCTGTGAACGCACAAGAAATTGCGGTAGATTGGGCAATATTTTCACATGCATTTTGCTTTGGTTGAACAGGTCTTTGATCTCCAGAAAACATGTCTTTCAGTCTCTTTACATCCACTGGGACCCATTCTGAAGAACTTTCCTCTGCCTGTTCATGATGAAGATCTATGCCTTCGAGTTTTTGTTCTTGCTCTGTGGGTTCAGCTTGAAGAGTTTTCAAATACTCCAAGTCTCCTTTTTCAATACAACTCTTGAACAGTTTTACATTCCCTTTTACTGTGATTTCAGGCCTTGTTGATCCTTGGCAGGTTTGGTCTTTTGAAGTTTCTAGAAGGCAGCTTATGGTTGATTCAATAACGCCTTTCCTTCTTTGTTCTTGATCATCTGTTTTACACACATCACCTCTTTCTGGCTCTGGTTCATCATACTCTGCACCTTGTGGAGGACAGTAATGTTTCACATCTTCCTCATCAAAATAATTGTAGAGGGAGTAAACAATGACTTCAGCACATTTGTCCACATCCTCCTGGATTATCACTCCTTTCCTCAGAGAGTTATCTTGATTGAGAATATCCTCAACAAGTTGAACCACAGTGGCAGTTTTAAACTCCGTGTCTTGGATGGTAGTGAACTGATGCTGGTGCACTAGTACCCTTACCACTGAGGCCTCCATACTTCCTTTATGATCCTCCTTTAGGTAAGTGATCTGACACTTAAGGTTTGCTCGTGGTAGCAACTGGAGTAGGAAATTCTGTGCACCACCCTCAGTCACCTCATCATATTTTATCTTAGGCCCACCCTCTAATAGTGTGAATTTGGCCTTTTTCGCTAGCATTGTTTCATTCACCTCAATGATTGAGCCATCTGAATGTATGGCATTTATATGATAAAGCCTATTCAATGTCTCCTTGATGTTCTCCACCATCGTCTCAATTTCGTCCTTGTTCTGATGCCTAATTTTGTCAAATGGCATTGATTCAAACAAATGGGTTCTGTTCTTGACATTATCTATCAGATAGTCCTGAGCTGCCCCATTGTTTTCTTCTGACCTTTGGGATTTTGATGTATGTATAAAAGAATGCTCTATGTTTGTTGGGATAAATGGGTTGTTTTGAGAAAGAGCAGCACTCGTTTTGATTATTTCCCCAAATGTTTCTGGATCAGAAAGGCTTGTAGGCTCATTCTCAAAGACCGTTTCACCAGTTGAAACCTCTTCCCTACTTGAAGACTGATGGTCACTGCTTTGACCGCATGGCCCTTGTTTATGGGGCTGATCTTTCAAATTAAGGGGTTTGGTACATGCATTGCTGCGTAGATTCTCTTTGCTACAGATTTCAAACTCCTTTTTTCTTTTTTGGACTGCCCCCTTCTCATCCCCCGAAATAGAAACTTTCCCCTGGAGTTTATTATTTGGATTTAATCTGTTCACAGACTGACTCTCAAATATCCTTCTGGTAGCCTGAACATCTATTCTGATCATCTCCTCCTCACACTCTATGTTAGGATCTGGACTAGAACCAAGTGTTTTGTCATCCTCCACGATCCCTTTAACACTTTCATTATCGGGCCTCTCTTCATGCTCCTCAAACACAGCTGATGTTTTACTGACATCGCCTCTTTCCACTGTTCCCTCTGCCCTGTGCATCTTGGGGGTGTAAAGAGATACTTGTCCTGCCCTGTCACCCAAGGCACAGTTCTCAAATATCAAGCATCTTGAAAGGACCTCTCCCTCGTATCCAGTTTCACCAGTTGTCACCCTAGTCTCGGAGCTCAAAACCTCAGCAAGCTCCTCATCCACAACTTCATCCAACATCTTCAGCTCTGGGTCAGTGTGCTTCAAGAGCCTTCTCAGCTCACATTTCTGCCGCTTTTGGAATAACTTCTCTTTGGAGAGTTGGGAAGGCATGGACTGTTGGAAATGTGCCCCAGAGATGTCTTCTGTTCCTGGCTGATGTCTGGCTGAAGCAGCTGGAAACAGTTCATCTCTCTTTTGTTGGGAGTCTTCAGCCATCTTAGAAGAACAAAGTAATGTTCTCATCATAGAGTCTTTTGTCACAGAAATTAGCTATCCAGTGAAAATCATGCTCTAGTGTCTGCAGACATGCTTACATCCTTCCAAATCATGCCAGGCGATTTGCTTTCCGCATGCCAGGTGTCAGTGGGTTAGCTGAGCTCCATAGCAACCAGCATGCACCGCAATGATTAAATAAAAAAATGAAAACGTAGAGTGGATGGCATCCAATATATGTTTCTTTCTGTGGAAGAAATCTGTGCAACTCTCAGGAAAAGCAAGCCTTTGTTTCTTGAGCCGTATGGAATATGATCCTGTGGAAAATGTTTATGCTATTGTGACAATGCAAATCCAATGCACACCATCATGCAAAATGTCTGGTGAGATTCTACCTTACCTTGGTTAGTTTTACTCTTTTCCCAGATTCAGACGAGTGATCTTGTGCCTGGATGGAAACAATAATTATTTCAGGTCATTTGTCCTTGACCTTGTCTGCCAGATTTTTCTTTATCGGTAATCACTATATGACATTTTGTTATTTAATGTATATGACTCTCTCAGAGATAATAAAACTGCAGTGTATAGCAAAAAAAAATGTTGCCACAGTGTATATGAATCATATACTGTACTGGATATTTGTAGAAATGTAGAAATTGCAAATTATTTTGTAGTTTAAGGGTCAAAACAGATAAAAATCATGAAAATCATATATCTCTATAAATAAATCCTGAGACAGGGTGGTATTGAATGCGTGTCATGAAATCGACAAGCAAAACTGCATTTATAGTTAACCTTGTTGGTCATGCTCCAAATTTAGCATTTAGCTTGTTTACCTTGTACAAAATATAAACATAGCATCTTTGAGATTATGCTTATAAAATAGTGGGGAACAAATCCAGGACTGAAAAGAAGAGGAGCACATAAAGAGTACACAGGTGTTTACCGGTTTTAAAAGGCTTTGTGTTGATTCCTGAGGTGCCACCTTTGACAGATAGAGAGCAGACATGGCTTTGACTGAGACACACAGTTTCTCCTTGGATTGGATGAAGGAGCTGTTTCTGAAATCTGCAACTGACCTCCTCTTTTCATCTGCAGAGACATCAGACACCACAGTTTTAATGTGTTAAAGTTATACTGTCTATTACTTTAAAAAAGGCCTTTTTAGAGCTCTCCCAGATCCATGTTGACAATGGTGTCAAGTACTTGACGTGATATATACAGCATGTGCCAACAAATTCTTCAAGATTCAAGATTTGGGGTAAAGACAAAAGTAGTCATAATGTTGTCTCACTTTGTTTACTGGTTATTATTAACTGTCAAAAAGGCAGCTGCTGTCAAAGTAAGGTGCTATTTTCGGAGATAGTCACAACATCATCTGACTGATAATTTAAATAGAACTGAACAAGAGAAATCTCGTTTTAATAACCTACATGTGAGTTGTATGTTCACATCAATGTTACCAAACCTGTGGGTTAATAGTTGTGTGTTAATAACATATTCTAGGCTGACATTTCACAGCTGCCTTGTGGTCGAGTTATAAATGTAGCACTTGTGGTGGAGAGGGACAGACACCCGACTCCACTGACACAAATACAGAGAGTTAAAAGGACAGGCAAGTCACTGCAGTTGACTAAGCACAGAAGAGAAAAAGTAAACACACATACTATACGTCTTTAAATTGTTTTCTATAAACAATTTAAAGATATACAGATAGTTAATCAATTGCCCACTAACAGTTGTCAATCAGAAGCACACAGTAAAACAGACAATGTAATGTTAATTGCTGTAAAGCGCGAACCAGCCTCTAGTGATATTAAAGTCTAATATTTTAATCACATCATATATATTTTTAGCTGTTCCAAAATTCTGTATATATTAACCTTTATGGGTTTAAATGAGCAGGCACATTTTTAAGAGCATGTGCAAGCCATGTAACACTTCTCAGCAGACACATTCAGCAGACTATTCTCTTGTTTCTCCAAAATACAAATCAGTACTCACAGACAAAAATGAACAGCTCTCAGTTCCTTCTGAACTGCCTGTCTTCTTATTTTCTTTCAATCTTTGCGAACGTGTTCAGTTCCAAGATCCTGTTGGTTTGTGTCTGGAAATGGAGCCTCTGCCACTTTAGCTCGCTCCCTCTCTCCGTCTCATTCCTACCCTACTGACAGCTGACCCTTTCACCCTCCTGCACCTATTCAGGACTTGTAGCATGCCAGCTATTTCTGTCCGGTTCTGGAGTGGCCTACTATGCCCGCACCAGGTCGAGTCAATCACCGCTTCTTGCACATTCACTGTGCTGATACTCATCTCTGTTTCACCTCTTCCCTTTCATTCATACTGTCCACAGCTTTGACCTGAGTCATAGGACACACAGAGGGCTTTCCAGGGAATGTGTACCAGGGAAGCTGGCTTCTTTTTTTTTCATTTGCATGAGGATTTAGACACTGAATTGGGCTGATATGAGAAACTAAACATGTGTTTGAGGTGGATCAAAATATGTTTGGGTAAAACTTTATTTTATAGGTCAGCAATTCCCTGATAATTTCCTTGGAAACATAGGGATCTATGTAATTTGGTACTAATTACAGGGAAAACATAACTTTTCTTGAAAGAACAGCTCCGTTTATACACTGTTAATTTATTGTTAATTTACTTTTGGAAACTTTATTTTTCATATATGTTGAACTGAATGCATATCTGTAGTAAAATATTACATTTGCATGTTCAGCTAGATAGATATGCATACAGTTTACAGCTGACCTGCTGTGCACTGACGAAAAGACTCCATGCTAGCAATGAATTTGAATCAATGTAATTAAACACTGTCTCTGTTTTCTGTATAATTAGTACCATATTACATTGTGATTTTCAGGAAATTTCCTGAAATTATTAGGGAACAAAATGTTTTATGGAAGTTTTTATTCTGTTACATTTGTGTTACTCAGTCAGTCCTGTGTGCATTAATTCATGCACAGTGTCTTTGTTCTGTTTTTTTGTGATTCAACTTTGCACTGCTCTAATCTCACCGTTCAGAGTCAAATCAAGGTCTTTAGCAGCTTGAGGGCATAATGCCAGTTACAGTTTCCTCACAACCTTGATCAGGGCTGCAGATTACAGGAAAGTATCTCTTTTGGTTCTCATCACGGAAGTGTATATATGTAGTTCATTTGTAGATGTTTTAATGTTGCTATATGTTGTTTATTTCTGGCCTTTTTATTATTTGTTTTTGTGAACTCTGTCTGCTAATCAGATTTCCCTTCTTGAACAATAAAAGGTCCACTGACAACTAGACGCTTCAGTGGCCTTAGAAATGCCTTTCTGTCATGTTGAATTACACTTTGAACCTTTATTTGCCAGCTTTATTGGGCAGTAGGTGATAATACATAGTGGTGAGGTTGGTGGGTCATCACAGAGCACACTTTGATGAATATTGTCTGGTACTCACCAGCTTGAGAGGCTGCAATGTTTTCAAAGTCAGTCCCCCCTATTGTTTTTCTCCCTTCCATCCAGGTCTGATTCACCACCTAGAGAGAGAAATAATGAACTGTCTGTGCCATTAAGTAGACTTATATGTCTGTTCATATGACATTGAAATGAATTAATATGTATTAATTCTATTTTTAGAAGTTACAGGATGGATTTGATAGAAACGTGATGATTTCAAGTTAAATGTGTGTTGAAAAATTAATCTATTAGTCCCAAAAAGATTGACAGGTATCTTCGTACATGATGACATGTAAGTTAAAAATAAGTTATGGATGTTTTCTGATACGTTTGAGGTAGAACAGTGGTTGTTTTAACATGATTTTTTGATTGCCTTTTAGCATCATTAACTGGTGCATCAGCAGACATTTGGGGTCTTCAGTTCCCCTGCAGAGCTCATTACCTCTTCAACCGCTCCATTCATCACTGGCATGATGTCTGCTGCTTTGTGGGGTGCAGTGAAACCTGCAGCTGTGAAACTGCTCTTCACCTTGTTTCCTGTGGCTGCCTTTGATTCAAACAGAGTCTTCAGGGCCTCTATGGACACCGCACTGTTTTGAAGGCTCCCCATTGACTTACTGCGGGTCAAACTGGTCTTGGCTCGAGACTGTTCCCTATCGTCATTTCTCCACATCAGAGATTCCAGTTGAGTCTCTTTAACCTCCTGTAGAGATGGGGTTTTCTGACAGTGACACACATAGAAGCATGTTTGCACAAAGGAAGATGCTTTGTGTTTGACTTTACAGGCAGCTCAAAATTGTCATAGTGTACAGTCAGCGGTTACCTCTTTGAACACCTGCTTTTGCTTTTCTTGTTTGGATGCACTGACTGTTGTTTGATACCTGTTACACAAACGCCTTATTAATCATCTACTAACAAGTACTGCATGTAGAAGGTTATAGAGGACTAGACTATGTGCTTAGTTGTCACAGATGTACAAAGAGCGAGGAAGATGACGTCACTTTAACCTGGCAACTAGCTGGGACACCGACGTTGTCTTGCCCTGCAGCGCTGCCTGTGTCCAGGTGGGCATGTTACATGACGAAGGGATGCTCCTCTGTGACTGGCTGCGCCTCAGGTTGCTCTTCCAGTCCATGACCAATCACATCACAGCAGCACACAGTTGCAGATGACTATCTCACCTAATATACAGTACATGACGGATAATCAATGACATTATGTCCATTATGGCAATGCATTTTCTCTGTAAAAGATCAGCAGACCCTGGATGTCATAGTCTGTTAATTATTTAAGCCCAGCAATACATTTTGTTTTAACCATCATCTTAACACGGCTAGTGAGTATTTTATCTACTCATAAAGCTATACATTGTAAAAATGGCAGGTTGTCACATCAACTGTGCCTAACCCTTAATGAATGACATGCTGAAACGTACAACCTTTTCGAGGATGTCATGCAATTTTACGGCAATGTTAAAGAGAGCAATAACTCCAACTAGTCAATTTAGAGAAAACTGACATTTCATGAAAACAAAGTGCCGGAGTACATAGAAGAGATTTTGAGTGGAATCGTTACCTCACAGATGTCAGTCGAAGTCTGCTCCCCATGACAATCAGAAACACTTCTGCAGCATCACAAGACAAGCACACGATGTGATGCGTTTGAGAGCAAAGTCCTTTTTCTTCCGCATTACTGCAGATTGTGATAAATGATCTATCAAAACTTCTAGAGTAGCAAACAAGGACGTAAATCCCCCAAATATTCGTCAGTAATACAATCTGCATCTGCTGCTTTTATCTGAAATCCACAAACAGATTTTATTAATTACATTTTGCTCTATATCAATCATGTTTTGGCATTATTGTGTGCTTTGGCTTAATTAAGATAAAATGAGGTTAACTATATTGATCCTGAGGAGAAGTCAGGTTGGTACAGCGGCAAAGAGTAAGACAGAGACAAAGAAAAAGAAATGGAAATGAGAGAATTATGATAATGCGCAACTGTATTTCCTTGAGAGCATTTTGAGTGGGTTCAGGTTTGAGAGATAATTGATTAACAAATTCTCAGGTTACAGATTTACAAATTTACAATGCAATACGAGAGCATATGATCACAGTAAATGTACAACTCTAATTGACTGTAGATGTTCAAAGTCTGCATGGTTGTATTTCATCAGGAGAAGTTTTAAACCAAAGGAGGAAATTATTTGGGAGAAATGTTGGAAGAAGAATTAACCCCTAAACCTTTGTAAATGACCACATGTAACTAGATTACAACTGGACAAACAATCAATGGTCCGTGGTTTCAACAGGGCTTAAGAAATGGTATGCATCACAAACACGGTTCAGCCGGACCAACAAGATTAGAAAGCATGCGTTATGTATTGGGTTGTACATAGTACAGTCTTACTTGCTGAAGACAATGTGTAGATTTGAGTTTGTTATATCTGGAGGAACTACTAGGATCACTGGAACAGGTTTATATGATAAATGTTTACAAAATAGCACCTACAGGCCCTAGTAATTCAGTGTGTTGCTCAAGGACATAGTAGGGTGGATGCTATAACATCAGTTTCAGTTTTGTGCTCTTAGATAGATATAACTTTTGCATTTCTGTAGCACTTTACTAATAACGCATTGCTACCAGAAACAAAGAGTACATCCGGAACACTTTACTGGAAATGTTTGAAATGTCTTGACCGCAAAAGTTTGAAGATCCAAAATGTCATGGTTAGTGCAACCCTATTTAAAATCTGTGCCCCGCTTTGAACGCCCCACTCGAAATAGCCTGGAAACACCAGTGCAATTAAGCAATTATTTTTTACTGCTTCTTTTAAAGGTTCTTAGTTCTTAAATTAGATTTCTGCTGGCTGGGGTTCAGTAGTCCTAGACAGCTATAGCGAGGAGTGTTGTGGAAGTTCGTCTCCACCCAGGAATCCCAAGACTTGCTGACCCTCGGGGATCGAGTAAGAGCAGCAGGAAGCTCTGCTCCCTCATGACCTCGCTGACTACATCGACACCAACACCGACCCCAACCAGACTCCCCCTGACACATGCTGCAGCAAAACTGCATTAACTAAGAATGTGTTCTCTGCAGCAGCTTTTCCAGGGAGTGAATTACACAATGCGGTTTAAATGTTAAAACAAACTAAATGCACATTACCGGTCATGCCAGTGCTGTAATTATTATTTTGTTCCTGGTAGGTACTGCACAGTATAATCACAGTGCAGCTTTTTTCTTCTGTGAAATGATTTTGATGCTAATGGTTACTTGTGGTGACATACCTTTACTACAGTAAAACCATAGAGGCCTGGACAAGGTTCATTGCACTGCAAAGACATATATAACAGATATATATAATGTATAAAACAAATAAACTATGCACTGAAAGCTCAACAAGCAGTTTTGGAAAGTACTGCAACTAAGTGCATTTACTCAAATACTAATCTTAAAGCTGCATTAATTGATTTTGGCCACTTGGGGGAAGCAGAACAAGCTGAGAACACAACAGTGACATATTAGCGCCATATACAGTCTTTGATGTTACAAATTAGAGGTAGGCCTATTGGTATTTCCCTTCTGTAAAACACAAAACAGATGGATGTAGATTTTTATCCCCACTACATGATGGTTTTAGTCACTAGCTACCAACTAGTTACTAGTTATGATTTTAAGATATCAAGATTTTACTTCGATAAACCCATCAAGTATTAAAAACAGTATATTAAGTGGTGAGAGGGAATGTCATCACAACCAGTTGCAACATTACAACACTTAAAGGAGTCTTTCTGCATAAATACTTTATTTGATGATGTTTTACTGCATTTTTGAGCACAATTTTGAATGCATGAGTATTTTTACATTGCTGTATTTCTATTTTTTCTCAATCTTTGTAGCATCCTTTATCTGGGTTTCCCTCTATTTCACGCACTTATATAAAAAAAATGCAGTACAGATTTTTAGACAATGGAAGCTGTTGTCAGCACACACAATTCATATTCTCTCTCTTTAGTCGTGCTTTCTGTTAATCAGTCTTCAGACAAAGAGAGAGCAACAGCAGCAGCACACGCCCCTGGGGCAAAAAAAAGAAAAAAGAAGACAGATTCAGCCTGGCTGTCTGCCCCTCCTCTGACTACAACCCTCATCCCTCCCTTCAAAACCCCACTCCTGTCTCTGTCTCAGAGGCACTGGAGAGATGAAAGGGAATGTGCAATGCGCCGCCTTTGACTGTGAACTGTGCGGTGTTATTAGGGGAAGTTTACTGGCCTTGTCTGCGTTTTAAACACACTTGCTTACACCAGCCAGCTGTTTTAGAGGGAGGATCTGTGGCTGGTTGGAAGGAGGCTTAAATACTTGCTGCCCGACTGGTAAAGAGCTGTAAAGAGGAGACACATCATCAGACAGAGACACAGATCAGTGTGTCTTCCTGTGTATGAACATTCCCTCTATGTGAACATGCCTTTCTTGAAGAAGTATGAGAAGAGATTAGCTCATGCATATAACATTAAAAGGTAGTCCAGTAGGGGGAAGTAAAGACCACAGAAACACAGCTCTCTGTATTGTCTTACCCACACAGGAACAGGAACATTACAGTGGGGCCACTCGAGGCCAAACTAGGTCATTTCAGTCTACCAGAATAACCCAGAATTTGCAGTGAGAACAGAGACCAGAGTTGAAGAAGTTAAGGTCAGAAATGCTTGATAATGTTTTCGCCAGTGACTCATCACAATAGCGTATCATGTCACAGTTCAATATGCAGGACTAATCTGTCTCGTCACGTACCAGAGAAATATTCTGTTCTCATTAAAGTTATGTTACCTCACTTAACCCTGCTGCAGTCACATTGTCTCTTTTCTACAGGATCCTGCCAGCTTCACAGAAATGCCAGTCTGAGGTGTTTTACAGAGCTTGTGCTACTGCTCGCGTGGCCTGTTGGATGTGAGTGACACACAAACGCACACACCACGCAGCTCACACGGCCAGCAGTCATGAGATTGCCTGAGATGGAGAATGTGCAAGCATCATGATACAGAGGGCAGGCACAGTGTGTGTGTGTGTGTGTGTGTGATTCATGCTGTTGCTACTAGTGATACTGCCCAGCATGTAATTGTGGTAATCTAGTTGGTGTTCATTCAGCCTTTCATAAAAAAACATACTGAGCAAACATGTTGTTGTTTTTTTAATTCTATAAAGATATTAGATAGTGTTAATAATATACTTCTCTTAACCAGTTTGGTGCAGCTTAGCTTATTAGTGTAATCACACTGTAAGAGTAATTCTTCAAATAATCATTGGCAGATGTAGGAATGTCTTATTTATTAGTCAGTCATCTCTTGGCCAGCTCACTTTGATGCCAAGACGAAGCCCAATTAGTTAAAAATGTCCCATCTGTAGTCTAGAATCAGGCCACCCTTGAAGAGGCAAAAGCATACAACACAACTAGCAATAGAGGAAGCATACTTTTTTTACTTTAATAATAATATGAGCCCTAACGATTGATTTGAACTCTGATGGTCTAAATTTAATGATATGAGTTTTATTACCAGTACATAAAATGACATATTTCCCCCAGTCTACTGTACACAATCTGACTTCTTGAGTGTCATACATCTGCATAAATAATCATTTTAAATAAAAATAGAAAAAACAACGTTTCTGATGAGCTACAGTGCCCTAGATGATCGGATTTTTCTGCATCCTCAACGTCAGATAGACTACACTGTCACTTGTTGGCAAACACATCAGCTCTATCTCAATATGCATTTGTGCGCGTTCATCTGTTCTTCGCGTCATGTTTGACGTAAGAGCAAATGTTCAGCGGATGAATCCAAAAGCAGGAGCACACGCACAGAACAGACGACGGTTCCCTATGTGCACTGCCAAATGGGAAAATATGGAGGATGCATTGGATGATGATTTGACTGAAAAGAACAAGCACACATTCACATATTGATAGATTCACAGTTGCTGCATGTAAAAGAACTCATGTTGTGGCCGCAATGTCAGTCCCATCAAGTCTGGCATGTGACCAGTGTGTTTGAGCATTATACATAGCTAGAGAAATGGCCGCGCTAAAAGCAAGAAAATACTATTTAATGTCTAAGGCAACAGTAGTGGCAGTGATAATAACAGTGATTATGTTTCTGATGTTGATGATATATACTAGAAAATAAACCATTACTTAGTGTATGTAGGCTATAGTGCTGTTATTACTTTAGATTCTGATTTATTAGGACTGTTAATGCAATTAGCAAGACAACTGTATATTAGTGCAACTCACTTCATACATTATGCCTTAAAAAAATACACTTTTCCATGTTTTTAATCCAGATTTGAAAATATATTTCTCACCCACACATGTTTGTGAATCCCTCTGCTGATGGCTGCTACTGGCTAGTTCTTCATTCTTCCCTCAGCAGAGAAAAAGTGAGGAGGAGGAGGACGAGAAGTAAGATAAGGAGGAATGAAAGGAGCAAGATAAAGGTGTTTATATTTATCCTTTAGCTGAGTCACAATTCAAAGAAACTATTGGAGAAAAGCCACGGCTTGAAAGGAATCACCAAGCTTTCTTTATGCAAGAAGAAGAAGAAGAAGAAGAAGAAGCCCCAAATACTGAGCTGTGGTTGC